GGCTAGATTCCTTCCCGCTGGGGCCCAGTCTGCCTCCACACTGCCTGTGCCCACGGTGGGCACAGAGCCTCTTCCTATTGGCACCGAATTGATTTTCTTCCACATTAGTTGGTCATTGCCACTCTGGGTAATGTATTTTAATGAATTGTTATTTGCTGGACATGGACCCAAAGGGCTTTTTTATCATGGAGGGCCCCATTCTGGAAGCCTTAATAAATCATGCTCCATTCAAATCCCACCTGCCATTTGGTCAGGGAGGGAGGGCTCTCTTCTCAGTGAATCATTGCCAAAGAAAGGGATCCCTTTCTTGCAGTCACCTCAGCTGGCACCTTCTATTCTTCATGGTTGGGCCATCTGTCCTGATACCTGTGTAAGTGAAATCTCTCTGCTGCCCATGAGGAGAGGCAGGGGTGCTGGTGGTCATGGTGTCTTTAATCTCATTCTGAAGAGCTGATCGCCTGGGTCTAGGTTTCCTAAGATGTCCTCCACCTGCACGTGTGCCCAAACCCCAGAAGAATTCCTTAAAATGCTGATTCTTGACCCTGGCTAGAAATATCTGGAGTCAGGGTGCTGGAATCTACATTTTAAACAACTTTTAAGAAGAGATTCTTAAGAAATTCAAAATTAGAAAGCAGCTTCCCTAAAGCCATATAATTGTAGCATTTCTTATGTATTCATTTCTTATGTTCTGCTTTGAGCATGCTAGATGGACACGCCTTGCTTTTCCTGTAGCCTGGTCCGCCCCACGCTTGTAGTGTTGCACCCGCCTCCACACAACACACTCCTGGGAGGGGGCTTTAGAGAGCAGGTCCCCATCCAAGTCAGCTGGGGATTTTCCTCCAGTCTTTCCAAAAGCATGACTCCAACATCTGGATCCCCGCCGTGGTGGAAGAAGGGCCCCCTTGGTGCATGCAGTTAGCTCAGTGTAAAAGGGTGGAGTCCAGGCTAGGATGAGCAGGGAGATACAGACAAAGCAAATGGGTCCTTGAGGACATTCTGGACTTTTAGCTTCCCTAGAGAAGTGGGTAGGGATGTGGCCCATAGGATAAGATGTCCAGGCCGTCCTGGGCTACTGGCCTGGAGCTCACCATCTTGTGCTGCCTACGGCCTGTGTTTCTGCACAGCTAGTCCTTCTACTCCATTGTCACCTGTAACAGTGAGCCCTAAGCAGCCAGACACCTCCCTCTGAGGGACCAAGTCCTCTCATCTCAGGTGGCTTTACTTGAGCTGGCCAGTCCCATGGAGGTGGCCGGGACTTGGATGAGATGGCTCTGGTGGCTCCTCAGCTGGACAGACTTAAAGCCACCCCCCCACCCCCAGCCCCTATAAGTCCTCTGTTCTCTCCTCCCCTGCCATATTTCACTTCTTGTCCTCTTTCTGTTCACCTCTCTTTTGCCCTTCCTGTCTTGATAGATTGAAACCAACATTACATTCCGGCTTCTTGTGGTCCCGGTAAATAGCTTCTTAATGTGGCCATGGTGAATGGGGAGGAGGGAGTGACAAGATTGTGTGTACTTGGGCAGGGGATTTAGCTCAGTGGTTCCAGTGCCTGCCTCGAAAGTGCAAGGTCCCGAGTTCCATCCCCGGTACCCCCCCCAAAAAAGATTGTGTGTACTGGGGGACTGGGGGTGCCAGGGACACTTACCTTCATCTGCATAAGAGGAGGAGGGGTATGTGCCCTGCAGGTCATGCCCCAGTGCCAGGGTTCAGCAGCATCTTCCTGGGGGGCCACACAGAACTGAGTGTCCTTGATTCTTCCCTTGATACAAAGAGGACAACAAGTCAATGAGTGTGCATAATGGCCTGGAACAAATGCTCCTTATGGCTGGCACTGAGCACCTGGGGTCTTCCTTGAGGATAGCAAGAGAGATTTCATTTGTCTTTAGCAAATAAGATTTAATCAAGCAATTTATATATCTTTGATTTTCTTACAAGGCCTTAGTGTCTTGGCAGTTATTGTTCCTGATACTACTGCAAACAAGAGCCCGTGTGGGGATAAATTACATGGAAAAACAAGTTTAATATTGATGTTTTCAAAATCAATGAAGAGTGAGGCCTGGCTAGAAGGGACAAGGAAAGGCCTGGATGTCAGGTAGTGGAACGCAGTGAGTTCTCCCACCTGCTTTGGGGACACAGTCTTAGCTGTCTTGCCCAAAGATTGTCTTTTATGGACACTAGGCAGATGCTGAAGGGTCTGGTTGCTCTTGGATGGGGTTTGCATCCAGAGACTGTCATGGCCTCCCTTTCTAGGTGTGAAGCCACTTTGCAGGGCATCTTTGCCATGCAGAAAGGATGGAGGGAAGTGCTGGCTAGGGAAACACACTGGCATCTCCCAGTGTAGCCTGCCAAAGGGCTGTAGCCTTCCAGGCCCAGTGAGAAGGGAGGCCCCATTCTCTGGGAAGTGGCCCCAGAAACCTGGGTGGATGACAGCTTCTTGTCTGTACTACTTTTCCTCACTGGAAATAGCCAGCTAGGGTCTTTTTTTTTCTGGTGCAGCAAGGAGCCCAGATCTGGAGGGACAGGGCAGGGAGGGGAGCCTCTCATTCAGCAGCTTGGACTCCTTTGGAAATGATGACAGGGGAGCTGGGAGAGGCAGCTGCGCCTGGACTTGCATCTTGGCTGCTTTTAGGAGTCTGGGCACAGGGCAGGTTGGTGGAGATTCGGAAGGCATCTCAGCCAAACTCCTGTTCCAGTTCAGACCAGCCCCCCAGCCTGTGAGCCTGGGTAGCCTCGACGACTGTCTGGCCCTGTGTCACTTGGGGCTGGTTACTGGCTGAGGTCCTGAAGCCTCAGAGAAAACCGAGGGCACAGAGTTGGCTCTGTAAAGCTCAGTGAATGCACAGAGAACCCAGCCCCCGTGGCATGTGTAGGGGGATGCGTGTCCCTGGTTGGGCATCTCTGTGTTGGCTCTCCGGTGATGGCATTTGGCTGGCTTGTGGTGTGTGTGTGTGAGTGTGTGTGTGCGTGTGTGTGTGTGTGTTGATCAGGACGTTCCTGTTTTGTGGTCGTCTGATCACTTGTTTTTGGCCATGGGCTTCTGTAGGAGGGTTTATTTTTAGCAGCTATCACTTCTGGCCTGAGGGTTGATCCTTGGGCACAGCAGAAACATTTGTATTTTCTGAAATGTTTGTGGCTTAAATTTAAATATTTATTTTGGAATATTTTTGCCTTTTATGTGTTTATTCTACTGTGTGTGTGTGTGTGTGTGTGTGTGTGTGGTAGGAGAGAAGTGTAGCATAATATAAATTTCATATTCTTTGAAGTAAATTAGTTTGATCTTAAGCCCCAGCTTTACCAGGTACCATGTATTTACAAGTCAGTGGTTTTGCCTCCCAGAGCCTCATTTTTCCAACTTTAGAGTGGGCATAATTTCCCCTGCCTCACAGGGTTAGAAATCACATGTGTGTAGTACCTGTGTTGAGATGTTCACTCAGCGTAGCTGTTACTGGTGTTCACACACACATATCCACGCCTGTGCTTTCTGGGTGGTTCTTGGTGTTGTGTGGGCACCTGGTGAGCAGAAGTGAGGGAGTTTTTGATTTGGGTGGTTTCTGGCTGGCATGGTCTCTGGCTGTCTTCCTGTCTGGTTTGTGTGTGATTGCTGGTATCTGGCTGGAGTTGGAGCTTTTTATTTTTCTGCCAACTGGGGGGCCTGGATTGGAGTGAGGGGGGAGATGGAGCTTGTGTGTGCGTGTGTGTGCATGGGCACTTGTGTGCATGCATTTGTTGGGCCTGGAGGCTGGGCTGTTGACTGCACAGAGTGTGAACTCACAGAGCTCCTCTGGGCGGGGAAGTTCTTGTTCCTGAGTCAGCCCTCTGGCCCCCAGCCACCCAGCACTCACTTTTTCCTTTCAGAGAAAGTGTTGCCTCCCCCACCACCCTGGTCTTGAGTCCCTGCCCCAGTACCGTACATGGTCCCCTCTGGCATGGGAACCACAGGCTTTGCTGGACTCTGTCTTGGCCCAGCCCTTCAGGGGTCCTTGGAGGGATCTGGCTCCTTTTGGGGAGCCTGCTGCAGTCCTGCCTGACTCACTTTCCCTTGACTGGTTCTCTCCTGGAAGCTTAGGGGTATGAGATGACCTTGTTGATTGGGGGGCAGGGATCCACAAAGAGGGACAGTGCTGGGGAAAAAACTCAGCAGGATGAATGTATTGTCTGAACAGTTCTAGAAAATTCTTTGCATGGAAACAGACTTGGCTGTGGAGGCTGGAGGACAAGTGTGTCTTAGCGAGTCCCAGCTCTGCCTTCAGCCTCCTCCTGCACCTTGGGCAGGGTGGACCCCTCTCTACACCTCTACCAGCACTCTGGGCACTTTTCCTGCTCTCTTGTGCAATGGCTTACCTCTGGGAAGGGCTGGATCTCTATGCTTACACCTCCACGTGCACAAAAGGCAAAGCCTGGTATTCTGCTCAAGCCCAGAGCAGGAATTCTAGGAATTAGAGCAGGGGTGAAACTTCCTGAGATAGGGCTGTTGAAGGGGCCAATTATGCTTTGCATATCACCTTTCAGGAGTTAATAGTATTCATAATGGCAATGGTTTTGGCTCCCAGATGCCAATCTCTCACATTGCTCACACACTGGTTTAAGCGTATGATTTGCATCAACTCATTTCAGCTGGAAGTACTGTGTATTCAGTGAATAAAGGCAATTTCATGTGGTCCGACCCCATTCTCTTATTGTCCCTGTTGTACCGATGAGGACACTGAGCCCCAAAGTGCCTCTGGCTGGGAAGCTGGTGAAATGCCAGAGTTGGGGTTGGAACATGGGCAGTGTGCCCCTGGGACCCTGCTCAGTCCTAGGTTTGGCTTCCTATCCTTGAAGATGGGTGTTGGGGAGAGCTGGGCAGGTGTTCTCTGTCCTTTCTCTTTGCCCTTCCTTTCGGTGGCAGGAACGGCTCTGGGGACCCAGGGAAGAGGAGCTCTTAACTCTTTTTCATGGGGTGATAGCCAGTATTCCTGCCTCCACTGATGCCTGGTGTTTCCCTTTCTCTGTCCTTGCAGAGGTGGTGGGACACACCCAGGGCCCACTCGATGGGAGCCTGTATGCCAAGGTGAAGAAGAAGGACTCCCTGAACGGCAGCACTGGGGCCATCAATGCGGCGCGTCCTGTCCTGTCGGCCACCCCCAATCACGTGGAGCACACACTGTCCGTGAGCAGTGACTCAGGCAACTCCACAGCTTCCACCAAGACAGACAAGACGGATGAGCCAGCCCCTGGGGCCTCTGGTGCCCCTGCTTCCTTGAGCCCCGAGGAGAAGCGGGAGCTGGATCGCCTGCTCAGTGGCTTTGGTTTAGAGCGAGAGAAGCAAGGTGCCATGTACCATGCACAGCACCTTCGGTCCCGCCCAGTAGGAGGCCCAGCCATGTCCTCCTCTGGCCGCCACATCGTCCCAGCTCAGGTTCATGTCAATGGCAGGGCCTTGGCATCTGAGCGGGAGACAGACATCCTCGATGATGAGCTGCCCAACCAAGATGGGCACAGCGTGGGCAGCATGGGCACCCTGTCCTCCCTGGATGGTGTCACCAACACCAGTGAGGGGAACTACCCTGAGGCTCTGTCCCCACTGACCAACGGCCTGGACAAGTCCTACCCAGTGGAACCTCTGGTCAATGGTGGGGGCTATCCCTATGAGTCTGTTGGCAGGGCAGTGCCTGCCCAGGCCAGCCATGTGGTCCCTATGCATCCCTCCTACTCTGCGCAGGAGAATTTAGCCAGCTACCAGCGTGGTGGGCCCCTCCCAGCCTGGCTGCAGCCAGCGACCACCTCCCACTATGGCCATGACCCCAGCAGCTTGTTCCGCTCTCAGTCCTTTCCGGATGCCGAGCCCCAGCTGCCCCTGGCTCCAACCCGTGGGGGCAGCAGTCGAGAGGCTGTGCAGAGGGGGCTGAATTCATGGCAGCAGCAGCAGCCTCGCCCACCTCCTCGGCAGCAGGAAAGAGCCCAGTTGGAGAGTTTGGCGAGCAGCAGGCCCAGCCCCCAGCCATTGACAGAGCCCCCCATCCCTGCTCTCCCAGAGTTCCCAAGGGCAGCCTCTCAGCAGGAGATCCAGCAGTCCATCGAAGCCCTCAACATGCTCATGCTGGACCTAGAGCCAGCCTCGGCCGCTACCCCCCTGCACAAGTCCCAGAGTGTCCCGGGGGCCTGGCCAGGGGCTTCCCCACTCTCCTCCCAGCCCCCCACAGGCTCTTTCCACCAGTCCCACCCACTGACTCAGTCCAGGTCTGGCTACATCCCCAGTGGGCATTGCTTAGGAACCCCTGAGCCAGTTTCCACTGGCAGATCTTACTCTCCTTATGATTATCAGCTGTGTCCAGCTGGACCCAATCAGGGTTTCCGTCCTAGGAGCCCAGCCTCCTCCTCCTCATCTGCCATCCTCCCAACCGCCCATGGCCCTCCAGGGCCTCAGCAGCCCCCAGCCTCTCTCCCTGGCCTCACCACTCAGCCTCAGCTCCCACCAAAGGAAGCAGCTTCAGATCCTTCCCGAACTCCAGAAGAGGAGCCATTGAACCTGGAAGGGCTGGTGGCCCACCGGGTGGCAGGTGAGAGCCCTGGGGCCCATCAGATTGGAGCATATCCTCTGTACTCCCCCCATCCCTTCCCTCTTCAATCTTGGCGGGCTTGGTGTGTGTGTGGGGGGAGGTGGAACAGGCCTAGGGATGACCCTCTGGCAGGTGCTGCTTGGCTGGGGCCTGTTACACACCAAGCCGTTTCTGAGATTCAAAGATCAGTGTCTATCCGTTTCCACCCTTGAGGAGTTTACAATCTAGTTAGAAAATGGGTATGTAGACAGATAACCCTAACAGAGAGCGATGTGTGCTCTGACAGAAGTGAGACTGCATGGGAAAGCAAGGCTTGCCACGTAGGGCAATCAGAGAAAGCCTCCTTGGAGTGGTGACTTTGGGGCTGGAGTAGACTTTCTAGGCACAGAGGAGACCCTGCAACTGTCCGCCACCCTTGTCCTCAGCCTGTGGTCCCTGGGGCAGGAGTGGAGAGGCATGGTGGGAGGTCTCTGTGGACTCATTTTCTCTCTTGGACCCATTCCAAGGCTATGACAAAGGCTGAGTTTCCCAAAGCCCTTGGGCTTCAAGTGTTCAGCCTGATGGGGCCTTTTGGCTTGGCCAGTTGTCCTGATAGGCCTTGCTTAGAACCAGCTCTGAATGGGAAACAAAGCTCTTCTTCCTATCACAGCAAATCTAGAGAGATCTGCAGAGAAAAGAGAGTGTGGGACAGCCAAAGAACCTATTAGGGAGAAACAGGCCTGCCGGAAGTAGCAAGTGCCCTACTATGACTGGGCAGGAAGTCCTCAGGCCTGATTGTCTTGTGAGGTGAAGCTCAGGCAGGGTAGCCCAGAACTGTGGGGTCAGGTGGGCCCAGTGCCCAGCCTTCAGCTGCCAGGGTGTCAGCAGGCACTCAGGGAAGAAGAGGTGCCTGAGCAGCTGGCTCTGCCCTCCACACTTTTCCTAAATTTAAGGGAAGCTGAGTCACCATGCCAGCTGGAGGGAGGAAGGGAGACACCCTCCTTGGGGATGGACCATGGCTTTGGAGAAGCAGCTTGGGACAGGCCAGATGGCTCTGGGGTTGGGTCCAGGACTGGGTGTGGGTACAGGGGCTTCAAGGCAGGTGGCGGAACCACTGAACTAAATCCCCGGCCCTACAGGGGCTTCAGAGCGGAGAACCCCCACTTCCACTTTTGGTAGTTTCCAGTTGGCCACAATGGACGTCTTTTCTACTGTGGAGCTTGGCAGCCATAGCTTCCTCTCCCTGAAAAGCTGGTCTAAACCTCATTACACTATTGTTTTACCTGAGCATGGAAACAAGATGTGTAGCAGTGTAACCCCAAGGGTGAAATGTTCCATAGGGTGGTCCAGATGGGGCTTGAACTTCTGGTTTCTGCCACATCTGGGATCTGACATAAAGACACTTCCCTAGCTGCTTTGTCAGCAGAAACCCTTTCCCTCTTGGTTCTATTGAGGAGAGAGGAATGGGGCCACCCAAATTCCTTAGAAATGTAATTCCAGAATTGAGGAGGTGCCTGAAGAATAATGACACTCTAGTCTAGCAATGAAGAAGCTGAAATATAAGCTTCAGGATGAGGAACCTGGGAAGCTCAGATCTGAGGGAGAATCTCTTTGTGGTCGTGAACATGATCTGGTTTCTCTTGGATTTTACCCATCAAGTTTTTTTCTCATTGGATGTTCTCTGTACCTCAGTACCATGTCCCTGGTTCATTCCACTTTGATCCAACTGCCCTTCGTGTCTTATTTCAACTTAAATACAGAGAATGCAGGAGCTGTTTTCTTAACTTGAAAGAGTATATACTAGAAATCTATAGTGCACATCAATTTCCTTAGGAAACATTGTAAGCATTCCTGTTACAGCCAAGGGACAGACTAAGGATACCTGTATCAACTGTCATTTAACATTGTATCAGATGTCTCAGCCCCAGCAATAAAAAAAGAAAAAGCAATGAGTCAGAGTTGAGGAGTCCCAACCGAGGTATCCTGTGTCCCTGATTCTGTGATTAGACTATGTCTCTAGAGGTAGAGATTTCAATGTATGTTGGAAATTGGATGTGGCTCTTATCCTTGAAGAGTCTAGAGTTTAGTAGGTGGTAGTAGGGGGACTAGAACTTTAAGATGAAGTCATTTGTAATGAGAGGTATGGAGGGAGTTCTGTGGAAGAGAAGCAAGGAGCTTACTATTGTTTGAAGAGGTCTGGGAGGCTGTGAAGTGTAGGTTTAAGCTGAGCCTTGCAAGATAGATAGGATTTTGAAAACGAGTGAGGCCATTAAACAGAGAGAGGTCACAGTGAGGCTAGGAAAGAATAGAAAATGTTGAAGAACAGTGAGTGGGTGAGGAGCATTATAGACAGAGGAAGACTCGGGAAAGGCAGCCAGGATATTGTCTCAAGATGGTCTTAAATACTGACTAAGGAGCTACTAGGCTTTTACCTTAGCAGCTTGTAGCAAGTCATTACTGTGGTTTAGTCAGGACAGTGTGCCCTGATAAAGGCTGTAGTGTGGGAAGATATATCTGGTGGGTCTGTGCAGGAAGGATGCAACATGGAAGAGACGCTGGGTTGGGAGATGCTAGGACCTTATTAGATAGCCTAGGTGACAGGGACTGCATTAGGGTCTTGACCATGGGTATGGAAATGAAGAGATGATGCCATGGATCTGTTGGGGGTGCAGAACCGATGTGATCACAAATCAGTTGGCTGTTATGGATGAGGGGGAGGCAGACATGGAATACGATTCTGAGGCCCCACAGATGGGAGAAGAGTGGTTCCATTAGCATGCAGTTGTTAAGTGGAAGAGTTGGCATGGTGTAAGATGAAGCTACAGTGTTTGGTCTACATTGAGTTTGAGGTGACTGTGGCACCTCCAGGTATGGATATTGGATTGGAGATTGTTGAAGAGTGGGAACAGATACAGATTTTGCAATCTTTCTCAGAAGGGTGGAAGTTAAAGCTCTGGGTGTGGATGAGCTCTTTATGTCAGAAGGCATGGAGAGAAGAGAGCTTAGGTAGAATAGTCATGAGGGGAAATGGAGGCTGTAAAGGGGATCTCAGCATAAATGCTCAGGGCGGTGACAGGAGGCCAGGACTATGTGTCATCACAAAGTAAGATAGTAAAGGGTTTCAAGGAGGAGGAGTGGGAGATTAGCAAGGTGAATCTGAAGAGATCAAGAGGAGAAGGAGAGAGTCCATGGGCTGGCCAAGGGCCTGGTGATTTTCAAAGGACTGTTTTAGTTGAGTGCTGGTGACAGAAACCAGACCATGAGGGGCTGACCAGTGAGTGGAGAGGGAGTGAAGACAGCATCCAACTACTCTCTGGAGTGGTTTTTTGATAAAAGGGGAGAGAATGGTAGTTAAAAAGGGTAGCAGGATATTGGGAACTTTTTGTACACACAGGAGTCATGTGAATGTTTTTAGGTAGAGAACAAGAAGGGAGAAGGTTGAAGATGGGGAGGAAAGAGAAGGAAAAGAGAAAGAAAGAAATTGACAGAATAGTCTCTAAGGAGGTTACAGGGGAGAATTGAGAGCTTAATGTTTTACATTTTATTGTGTATATAGGATTGAGTTCATGACTCATCTGCACATTCATTGTGAGCTTTAATCTGTGCTACTTGCTACCCTAGGCTCTGGGAAAATGGTGGACAACAGTAGGTAAACCTGTGCCCTTGTGGAGTTGGACACTAAACAAATAAACACATAGATGTATACTATTTTAGATGTCTGATAAGGGCCAGAGAAATAAAGCAGTGAAGTGCTAGTGAGGAGTAGAAGGTGGGTGAATGGTTATACTTTACACGAGATAGTCAGGGAAGGCTTCATTGAATGATGACATGATGAACCATGTGGAGCAGCCAGTGCAAAGGGCCTGAAACAGGAGTGTGCCTGGTATGGCTGGAGCAGTGATCAGCATGAAGTCAGAGAGGTCATGGGAATGGGGCCAAGTTACAGCTGGTCCCAGAAACACTAAGAACTTTGGTTTTTAGCACAGTGTGGTGTGAGAAGCCTTAGAAAGAATTTGCTCCACAAAGTGACGTCATCTGGCTTGTTCTAAAAGGACCAATGTGGCCAGGATGGCAGGAGGGAGCCAAGTTAGGAGGCTGCAGCTATTGATCAGGGTGGAAGCCAGGAGATGGGAGGAAGTGCTCGATTGTGGACATATTTTGGAGTTGCTGCCAACAAGATTTACGGATAGATGAGACAAGGACAACTCTGAGGTTCTTGGCCTGAACAACTCAATAGTAGGTACTCTTTATTGAGAAGGGTAAGAATCTGGGAAGAGGGAGTATCAAAGTGTGTTGGGGGTTTGAGATGCCCAGGATAGATCTGAGGTCAGATTGTAAGAGTCAGGAGTTTCAGCGGCGGGGAGAGAGCTTAGAGAGGTGAGAGGCATCACAGATTTCACCCAGGGGAAGATCCCAAGGACTGAGTGTGGAGCCTTGTTCATCTTGAGGTTGGAGACAGGAGGAGTAGCCAGCAAAGAAACTGGGATGCAGCCCTTGTGGATTAGGGGAGTGCTAAAAATCAGATGAGCCCTGGGAGCCAGGGTGGGGTGGTGCTGGCCACTTGCATGGCCCCTGTGGTGTGAAGGAGGATGGGGAGTCAGAAAGGTGAGCATAGGATGGCACGGCAGGTCCTTACGGTGCGTTCAGGCAGGTTCATCTTCAGGACTTTTGTGGAGACAATCAGGTCCATGTGACTGCAGATTAAAGGGCTGAGGGATGGTAGGCTACGCGGGGGTGGGACCCTTGGTGGCGTCACCCTGGATTCAGAAAGAGGCAGGTGACCACGAGAGAAGGGGGGAGGACCTGGATAGATTATGTGAACTGAGGAGCCGGTCAGCCAGCAGGTAAAAGGACTGAAGTCTCCTGGCCCCAGGCGGGCGCTTTCTTCCTCTGTCCCAGCGTTAGAAACTAGAGGGACATGGTGCCCTACTGGCCAGCAGGATGGCCACCTGCCCTCTGGAGAAGGTGACCCTAGCCCTGCCCTCTCTTTTTGTCTGATCCTTTCCCTCTCCTTCCAGTGTGTGGCCAGATCCCAGACAGAACACCAACTAATCTTCATTTTCTCTTTGTTTTTGTTTTGTTTTGTCTTGTTTGATGCTGTGTCCCCTGCATTCTCTGTGTGCCTTGTGTCCATCTGCCCCTGTGCCATTGGTGGGGGGCTTTCTTTGCCTCCCCGCCTGCCTTCTATTTCCTGCCGGCTCCCGTGGGGTGGGTGAGCAGCATACAATGCCAGGCTGCAGGGCCTGGGGCTGAGTGGCAGCTTCTGGGCCCCTCCTCTCCACCGGCTCCACTCTACCGCCCTCTCTGGTTGGTCCTTGTCCTTCCCCTTCTCCCTTGCAGCTCTTCAGCCCTTGTTGTAGCTCCCAGTTTCTCTCTCTCTTCCTCTCCTTTGGGTGCTATTCCTTCCAAGCCTTTGCCTGCCTTCCTCCTTCTCCTTTCCATTTCCTCCTATTTCCCATCTCTTCTCCCTCCCTGGTGATTGTCCTCTCTCGACCTCCTTCTCATTCTGTCTCCCCTCTTTTCTCACTGTGCCTCCTTATCTGTATCGTCTTCCTCCCTCTCACCAGCCTCCCTCCCTCCTACTGCATGAGCCAAAGCTCCACTCTGCATGGACGCAGGCCTGATGCTTTTAGCTTTGGCCTTGCCTGCTGGCAGCAGGGTCTGAAGTGAGCAGACAAAATTCCAGGGCCCTACAGAGATGTGGACCTTTGTAATGAGGTACATGGTGAGGGCTCCTGACAGTCCAGCACTCTGCTACCCCAGGCAGAGGGTCTAGGCTGTGGGGCCAGGTCTCGGAGCCAGGCTGTGCTTGGCCTGGGCTACCAGGCATAAGACCAGGAGTGGTGGCCTGTATCTGGTGCCTTCTCCACTCTGGAACATGGCACACTCTGGGGATGGAGTATCCTGTCTGATTCTTCCCCCAGTCTCTCCTTCTAGGACCCATAGTCAGGAGTCAGAAGTCTGAGCTGTGGTCCTGGCCCTGCCAGTGCTGACCTCTGTGACCTTGGGCAAGTCTCTTCCCTAGTCAGATCTGTTTCCCAGTTTGAAAAATGGAGTGATGACAGGCCTGCCTTTAATGTTGCACGTGGTGTGCAAACCCTGGACCTGGTGGCCCTTGCATCAGGGCTGTGCTATTTTATCTGAGGATGATGTTGTCCACTGATGCTACCCCCAGCCTCTTGGACATGCAGGGCCTGAGGAGCTTAGCCCTGGGGAGGAAATCCCCTCATCCAGTCCCTGCTCCTCCAAGCCTGAGGCTGCTGTCAGGAGAGACGGTGTGCTCAGGCTTGCCTGCTGCTCTGGCCTTGAGCAGTTCAGGAAGGGGCCGTAGGTGGGTGGGAGCCATCGACTCTCTCTCAGTGTCAGCACCTGGTGCCTCCTGGACCCTCCTTCTCCCGGCCCTTGGGGATGAGGAAATGGCTCTAGCAGACTGCCCCGCCTCCTCTGCTCCTCCCTCTGTCCTTTTCTTGGCCCAGTGGTGGGGAGTGCAGTGTTCAGATGGACCTAGGGTTTGGGAGGTTCTGGGGTGGTGTCCTATCCGAGGGGAGCTGGCATGGCTTGCCCTGGGGCTGCTGGTGTGATCACCCTGCCGTGTGGCTTCCTGGTGCCCTAGCCCAGCAGGTGGCCGTCCTCCTGGACCCCCTCGCTTCTGGAGCCCCGGCATGCAGTTGGACACCTGGCCCTGCCACCTGGAGCAGAGGAATCCAGTCTTTTGGAGATTGGAAGGCTGGAAAGAAGAGCTGGGTCTGTGGGGGGTGGAGCTGGTTAGTGGGTTGTGGGGTGGCTGTGAGGAAGCTGATACCAGGGTGTTTGTTTGTCCATGTGACTTGGACAAGGGCAGTAGAGCTTTGCCACAGTGCACAAAGTGACAGGTGTTAGGGCTTCAGCTTTCAAGATTGCTCTGTGTGTGTGCGTGTGTGTGTGTGTGTGTGTGTGTGTGTGTGTGTGTGTCGCCTGCCTCGAGAGAAGGGGGAGAAGACTGAAAGATTCCTGGGTAGAGGGCGAAGGCAGGAAGCAGGCTGTCTTACTATTGGTCAGTCTCTGGGACATGAGAGAGGGTGTTCTGTCTCTGCCATGGCTGTCAGCTTGGGTCCAGACATCCCAACTTGGCTGAGGAACAATGGGCTCTCTTCTCTCCCCTTCACTGTGCCCGGTTCCCCTCCCAGAGAGAGACAAGAAGGAGAGAACATGGTTGTCCATGCACTTGAGGCAGCTCTGGGCTTGCCAAGGGGACAACAGTGGGATACTGTGTTCAAAGAATGTCAGTGGCCCTGATGGGCCACGGGTGCCATGGGGCACTCTGTAGGCGGTGGGGCTGTCCCTGTGGGAGTGGAATGTGGGGTCTTCCCCCTGCTGAAGGGGGAGGCTCTGTCCTGCAGCTCCCTTGCTCTTTGGAGGTCACTCAGTCCACCCTCTGCCTCTGGGTGAGATGCATTCCCACATGCTGAGCTGGTGGCAGTGGGGACAGGAACTGAGAAGGTGCTAGTGCCTTGTGCAGGGTCTGTGTCACGCACTCAGTCCAGAGTCTTTTCCCAGATGCTGCAGCCTTCTGTGGCCCCTGGGCATGGATGCTGCTCTGGGCAGGTCCAGGAGAATGTTCTCTTTCCCTCCAAGAGATGAGGTGCCTTCAATGCAAACAGACCCATTTTTAAGGAGAAATATCAGATTCCCTGAGAGAGAAAGCTACTCTTTGAAAAGGCAAAGGGATCTTCCAGAAAGAGATTGCTGGGATGGGTGATCCTGGACTAAGACCAGCCCTGTGCATTTTCTTTAACCTTGGGGCTGAACTGGCTTCCAAACCCCAAGAGCCCTTCTCAAATGGGCCTCTTGTCATGGTATTAGTAGAAAATCAATGGCTACATCTGTTTCTCTCTAATGTTTTTGCCAGTGATGAGCCCAGCAGGGGCTCTGGGCCACACTGCCCAGGAGGCCTGAGCAGGGCAGGACTGGGTGGAGGAAGAAGCCGGGCTGAGGCCAAGGGTTCCCCCCTGGTTGCTCTGTTCCTCCAAGTTCTGGGAGCCTGGAATTGTGGGAGGACAGCAGCCTAGCAGCATCCCTCCAAGTCCAGCCTCCTTCCTTGGGGCATGCTCCCTGAGTGGGACCCCTACTTTTCTTTCCAAAAATAAGGGTACTTTGAGGTTACTGAGGAGCTTTCTTTAAGCAGAGAAGTTAGAGCAGAACAAGCCCCTGCCTTGCTTGAGGTGGCAGGGAGAGCTGCCTCTCAGGAACAGTCCAAAGCAGTGACTCCAGATGCCTTTGGGCAACTTCTGCATTTAACATGCTGCACCAGGCCTGCTGCCCCGTGAGGGCACTGTGGAGTCCCCATCACAGGAGCATCCTGTCTCTTGGCTGGTGTGGGAGTGCATCTGCCCTTGGACTTGGTGGCCAGTGGCCTGCAGTGCTGTTCATGACAAGCAAGAAGGCTTCCCAGCAGCCACTGGTTATGGTGGCTATTGTAGTTGTGCCAGGCTGGGGGGCTTCCTGCAGCTTGTAACCCGACTATAGATGGAAGCTGATTCAGTCTGCATGAGGGTGAATTTGGCTTGGTTGCACTGGCAGATTTCTAGGTGCCAGCAGAGTGCGTGTGTGTGTGTGTATGTGTGTGTGTGTGTGTGTGTGTGTGTGTATACACTCCAACACATGCTGTGAAATAGTGTTCAGGGTCCCAAGCCTGTAGCACCTTTGGTTAACCCTAGTGGTGGTGAAGTCAGGGCAAAAAGTCTCCTGGAAGATAATTGGGTCTAGAAGCACACCCTTTGGGCTGGGTCTTGGCCCCTGGGACCTGGGAAGTAACTTTTCTAGGATTCTGTGAACCAGCTCAATGAGGCAATGGAGTCCATGCCTCCACCCCAGCTGTGGGAGGAGAGAGTAGGAAGGGTGAGGTTACTGACATGCCCAGCCCACAGAATGGAACTAGGTTGGGAAATGCAGAGACACAGATGGAGCACATGACTTCTCTCTATCTTCGCTTCAGCAGGATGGCAGAGTGGGAGCTTCCACTGCCTTTGGGGATGGATGGGAGTAGCTAAGGAACCAGTATAAGGGGAGTTGGTAAGAGGTTTCAGAGGTGCAAGGAATGAAGGTTGGGGAACCGCAGAGAGGGTCAGAAATATTCCTGGGGCCAGTCAGGGCTGAGAGCTCCAGAGCAAGACTTAGTCATTTAAAAATTTCTCCTTGGGAGCACCATTTGCAAGATGATGCAATTTAGCCCTTTCCAAAAGCTCTTCCCCATGGGTTTGATGTTGCTTGTTGGTTGATGCAGTTGCCTTGGAGACCCTGTCTTTCCCTCTGCCTCCCTTCCTTTGTTTGGAAGCTCTGGCCCTCTGCCTCCAGGGGCTGGAAGGAGCCGACATCTGTTTCCTCTATCAGTCCTTTGTGCTCTTGGTCCCAGTGCTGAGAGAAGTAGGGATTCTAATAAAGACTGAGCCCAGTGGAAGCAGGTTCCCTACCCTGCAGAGAAAACCTAGGGTATGAGCAGAGTTGGGCCCAGGAAGGCCAAGGGAGGTCCTGAGAGAGGCAGCCCATTTTGGCTCTAGCCTTGTGCCAAGTGGTGCTGCCTTCTCTGGGGGATAATGGGATTGATCATTTCTCAAATACTATGTTCATTGCTCTCCATGCCCGGCCATTCCTCCAGGGGTGCAGGCTCGGGAGAGACAGCCTGCAGAGCCCCCAGCCCCGCTCCGGAGGAGGGCAGCCAGCGATGGACAGTATGAGAACCAATCTCCTGAAGCCACGTCCCCCCGGAGCCCTGGGGTTCGCTCCCCCGTCCAGTGTGTCTCCCCAGAGCTGGCTCTTACCATCGCCCTCAATCCTGGTGGGCGGCCCAAAGAGGTGAGTCCTTGAGCTGTGTTCTGGGGTCATCCACAAACGTGACGGTCGGCTTGGCACTGAGCTGTCAGTAAACAGTATTTTTCCCTCCCTGCAGTCCTCACCCCAGGCCTCTTCTCTGGTGTGTGGCATGTAGAGCCCATTCCCTTCCTCCAGTGGCTTTTATGCCCTCACTTCTTACGTTAGTGCCAAGGTAAAAGCTCCCTTCTCTGTTCCTAGAATCTCTCTCTCTCTCTTTTTTGTTTTTTGGTACCGGGGATCGAACTCAGGACCTTGCACTTGCGAGGCAGGTGGCAGAACCACTGAGCTAAATCCCCGGCCCATATTCCTAGAATCTCTTAATTGCATGATAAGGATTCTGGGGATGGCATAGGTGACCTCAGTCTCGAAAATACAAATCAGGTCAGATACTGATAAAAATGTTTAAGTCCTTCCCAGAAAATTTTGTTGGAAGATTTAATTTTCAGGCCAAAATGTTTGCATCTCTGGGATGTTTCAGTAGTTGGAAGCAATGAGTCTCAAACTTAAGTGGGCAGAACCACTGTGGAGTGTTAATACTGTAGATTCCCAAATCCACCCCCAAAGTTTTCAGCATAGAAGATCTGGGAAGGGAACCAGGAGTCTGCATTTTAAATGTGTACCCTGGAAGATTCTGATGCAGATGGTCCATGGGCCACCCTGGGACATGTGCTGTAATAGCCAGGCTGTAAGTCATCCTGGATGTCAGAGGCCTTCACACACCTTTCTTACTTACCTTCTGGTAGGATCCAAGTCCACCACCTCCAGCCCCTTCTCTGTAGCCCTGTTCTGAATTCTTTCCAAGTCAGGTGCTCCTGAATTCAGCCTGTGCTTGACCATGGCCTTGCCAACAGCCACTCCCCCACTCTCTCAACTACAAGAAGTTGGAGCTGTGAATGGTCAGGATCTCCCTTTGCCTTTTGGGCTCACCTGAGCGGTAATGAAGATCAAATGGAGAAGGGAATTTGTCCCTGCTTAACTTGCTGTTTTCATGCCCAAGGTCATCTGAAGGGGAATCTTGTCTTCTCAGGACTCCCAATTTTCCTCCCCTTTGTTCTACAGCCCCATCTGCACAGCTACAAGGAGGCTTTCGAGGAGATGGAGGGAAGTTCTCCGACCAGCCCACCACCCACTGGGAGTAAGAACTTCCTGCTGATCCTGTCTTCTAACTGTGTATCCTCCAGCCCCTCATCTTCACCTTGGCCAGTATGGGGGAAGGATGGGAGGAGTGCCCCAGCAGAGTTGGGCAGTGTTAGAATTTACTAGCCCCACTTCAACTTCTTTCCTTCCACTGTGCTATCTTCTCCCCTGTCTATTTCACATCTAACATTAAGGCAGCCTCAGTCTTAGGATGCAGAGTGACTGACTATGGAGCCCTGCACTCTCATAAGGTTTTCTTAATTGTTTAAGTCCTTTTTTACATTCTAGGGTCAAAAGATTCCCCATCCTAACATGGACTCTGTAACTTCACCTTGATGTTGTTTCTGACCCCCATTTCTATTTGCATCAAGACACCTTTTCCATTTCAGGTGACCTGTGTAGCTTTCTCCAGGGAAAGAAAGGGATCTCTTGGGCAGGGGCATTTACACAATCCCCAAAGGACAGCCAAAGAGAAGACTTGGATGAGCCTATAATGGGGCAGTGCTTCTTCTGATAAGGGATGTACCTTGAAGAGGAAATGCAGGAAGTGGTTGTAGGGAGGGCAGTGCTGGAGCCACACCAGGCCGTGAGATCTTAGGGTCCTGTGAGAGGTCCCGGGCAGCAAAGGGAGTAGAGCCTGGTGTTGCTCAGGGATCAGGGTGGCTGGGCCTGGCCCCTCTGTAAGGGAGGCAAACTGGAGCTGGCTGGGGATTATCTGTCCCGTGCACCATGGGATGTAGCAATGACTCATGACCCATGTGCCAGCAGAACTTGTGCTGGCTGCCATCTCAGACATGCAGGACACCAAAGTTATGATGGATCAGTGGCTTGTGGAAGCTATGGCTCTGGCTGCCCAATGAAAACAGAATATGAGCACCTTGTAATTAAAATTCTTAGTAGCTGCCCTGAAAGACATGATAGGAAACTGGTGAAATTGATTTTAGTAACATCTTTATTATATCCAGAATATTATCTGCTATTTCAGTAGGCAAACAATATAAAAATAGAGAGTTATTTTACCAACTTTTAAAAAAAAGTCACTGGTCCAGTCTAAAATATTGAGATATTAATATTTTATTAATACTTTAGTTTATATTTTGCCAATATTTTATTAATGCAAAACACAAGCCATTTGGTGTTCTTTTTGCATGCTGTTTGAATCCTGGTGTGCATTTGGTATTCACAGCACATTCCAGTTCCCATCGGCCAGCTGCAGGTTCTCAGGAGCCACATAAGGCTCATGGCTGCCACACTGGGCCGAGAACAGGTACAGGCTTAGAGCCATGTACTCCAGAGCTGGCTCTGGGGTTTGTGGTGACTCAGTGGCCTTTGTTTCCCAGCTCTTCACTTTCCACCTTCACAACTGCTTCCAATCACTGTTGGAGCCAACAGACAAGGGTGGGTTGTCCCCCTGCTTGGGCTGGAAGCCATCAGGTTGTGTTAGAATCGGGTTTTGCTTTTTTTCACTCTGCCCTTGGCCAGCCAGGGAGCCCTGAGGACAAGACCAAGTCAAAGGTTTCATAACTGCATAGGGTTGGGGAGAGAGGATGGCAGGCAAGTAATGCCAGGAATTTTTCTCGCAGGCAGCAGAAGTCTGCTGGGCTTCAGCACCACCCACTCATCTGTTTCCCCACGAGGGCCACTTTTCCTGGGACTGAGTTAGATGGGGTGCTAGTGGCAGATGGGGAGAAAACCCAGGGAAGCTTCTGACCATCTCTGGTCCTCTCATTCCCTTGACCTTCTCTCATGGGTCTCTCTGCCCCTCTGCTGCACCTGCTGGGCAGGAGTGTGCTGACTCGAGGCCTCAAGTTGTGGGCTGGGCCTATTGCTTCATAATCACGCCTTCAGCCAGGCGTCCATCTGACAAACATTTACAAGCATAAGAGCTTGAGAAGTGTCTGTAAGTAAGACACCATGTTAGGCAATGGGAGTGTGGAAAGGCCTAGACTTCCCCGGTACCTGGAGGTGTATATTTGCACACGTATTTCTCCCTTGCTGCATCTACTCACTGGACATACAAGGACAGAAGGACAGTAGAGTGCAGGGGTGGGCCACCCCTTGGGACCTCTGAGATGTCCCCTGCTTCCATGTGCACGGGCATACATTCCTGCATGTACACAAATAGCTTGTGCATGTCACTTGTGTTGAGGTCGTACTTTTTTGTTGCTGTTCATTTTCTTTAAGTCTCTGCATCTTTTGGGGAAAGAGAAGGTGCTAGACAGGGCACATGGAGCTGTGTTTGGATCCTGGGTATCTGAGGGCCACAGCTTGTATGTTGAGACCATCAGACAGGCACAGAGCATCCTCAAGAGCTATGTCTTCTGCAGGCTCCTGATCTCCCTGATAGGAGACAGAGCTCACTTCCTTAGTGAGACGTGACAGGTGTCACCGAGACATCTCGTGACTGGGCATAATACCGCCGGTAGCTCAGCCCAGATCTTTGGCTGATGGGAAAAAGCCCAGGAGCCCTTTCTGACCTTGTGTGTTATGTGACACTTGTCACCCAGCTGGGTGGCGCAGGAGGAGCCTGGCTTTGCCCAGGAAGCTGGTGCTCTTGGCCCAGGACTGCTCCAGTTTCTTCTCCTGGAGCACCGAGGTTCAGAGGTTCAGAGCCCCAAGATGAGAAGGTCTTTCCTGCTGGGGTTTGCAAGGGGCCAAGTCCTAGGGTTTCTACCTGTATTCCCCTTCTCCCCTGTCCTTATCAGCCTGTGTCATTGTGAGATTCCGTTTTCATTTAGTCTTCTCTGAATCCATCCACATACATGGTTTAAAGTGTGTGTGTGTGTGTGTGTGTGTGTGTGTGTGTGTGTGTTGGGGGATGTTGGGGAAAGAGAAAGGAGGAGAGAAAAGAGAGAACATTATAGAGAGAGGCGCAGAAAGAAGCCTGTGTGTATACTGTGAGCCACAGTACTGTAAGGAGACTATAGTAGAAGCCAAGGGCCCAGGGGTAGAAATGATTTTCAAGATTGGGGACAGGGCCAGGACAAGGGCGTCACTTCCGAACTCTTTCCCTTTGTCCTTTAAACTGCTGAAATATGGAGAAACACAGAGCCAGGGAAGGGCAGTGGAGCCAGAGAAGCTGGGTTTTGGGGCTGGTTCCGTGGCTGCCCAGCTCAGGCCAGCAGGCACCCCTACTGTGGGGTGTCTGGCCCTCCTGCACCGCCCCCTCACTCCCCGCCTGTCTCCGCTCTTCTTCCTACACAGTGCGCTCCCCTCCAGGGCTGGCCAAGACACCCCTGTCTGCTCTGGGCCTGAAACCACACAACCCAGCGGACATCCTGCTGCACCCCACGGGCGGTGAGTGACTGGCTGACCGGGGGGTGGTGAGGGAGGCTGGGGGTGTGTACCTGGGAGGGGACCTAATTGAGAGAGCCCAGAGTGGACACTCGTGGGACCTTCCTGGAGATGAGATGGCCAGGGGCCCTGTGCCCTTGCTGAGGTCAGGCCCTGGGGCTCTCTACACAGGACTTGGGGTGATACCTCCCTTTGCAGCCTTTCTAAAGTTTTTGCCTCCTTGGACTTGGGGATTTGGAGACCTGGTCTATTTCCTTGCAGAGTCACTCAGCTCTCTGCTAGAACCCTGGCTCCCCCCAACCAGCCCATTGGCCTCTGCTCTGAAACTCCTCTCCTTAGAGACCAGATCCCTGGACTTGGGGTGTTTTCCTGCTCTGCCTCTTTGGGCCCCCAGTACCCTCCTGAGAAACCCATGACTCAGTGGCAGTCATCATTGAATGCCAGGCTGCAGGTCTTTGGCCCCTCAGCCAGGGTCACCCCTGCCTGGCCAAGGCACTCGCCACCCCCATGTAGCCTTTCATCCTCCCCCTGTTCACATTCCTGATGCTGGCAGCATTCAGCCCTGCTGCTGAGGACAGAGCCAGATTCTGGGGCTACTGGGCTGCTCCCCAGCCTCCTTGGCGCCTCATAGCTTGTCCTGCTACAGAGAGGAGGATGGCTTCCTCCCCAGCCGAAAGCCGCTTTGGCTCACACCTCTGACCTTCTCTTCCTACTTCCCAGTTCCTCTCCTTGTGGGAGGACAACCATGGGGACCCAGGGCACTTAATGCTGGCTGGAGCCGGCTAAACCTAGAAAATTGCTCCTAGATCGGATTGGGGCTGAGCTGGGGCTTTTGAGGTCAACTGTACCTTTTCTCCTTAGTAGCCAGAAGACTGATCCAGCCAGGTAGGTGGCAGTGCATGCATTTGTGACCCACATAGACATTGGCCGGGGCACAGCCTGCCACCGAGGTGTCAGCATGGCCAGACGCGGAGCCACAGTGGGAGAAAAGGGAGCTGGGCTGCCTCTCACTGACCAGCACACTGCTGCTTGAGGCTTGGCCTGGCAAGCCTTGGCCTCAGGGGCCGTGACAGGGACAGGTTCCTGAGAGCCAAGGCCTCGGGTTGTGCTCTACACTCCTGGGGCCTGGTGCAGAGTGGGCCCCAGCCTTCTCCTTGGGACTTCTCCCTGGCCTCGCCTTCCTGCCTCTCTTTTCTCAGCAAGTTCAATTCTTTCTCCAGAAATACTCCCTGGTAACCAACTTCTCTCTCTCTTTTTCTCCTGCTGGCTCTTCCTCTTGTCTTCGTCACCTGCTCCTTTTTTCTGCCTCTCCTCCTCCTGCCTCTCTTCTCTTCCCTCAGAGGAAGATGAGGGGAAGGAGGTGACTAAGCTTCCAGAAGGTAAGTGTGGGTCTATGGATGGCCACTCCGGCTCTCTCGTGAATTGCTTTGCACACAGAGCTTGACACGGCTGGCTGGAGGACAGCCCTCTCTTCTTACTTGGTCTCAAGTGACCAGGCACATAGCCTTCCTGTCCCCACCCCCCTGGCACTGCCTGAATGCTGCCTGAGGAGCTCGTAGCCACTGGGCACCAGTTCAGGGACAGCCAGTGTTCAGGCGTAAATGTGCCACCTTGTTGACAAAAAGCGCCCCTCCTGTCTCTGCCTCTCCTGGGGCATTTGCACCTGCCTGCCTGGTGTGCAGCCACACCCGGAGGTGGACACGCCAGGCTGTCAGAGCAGGCACTCTGTGGGCTGCACAGTTGCTTGATGTGGGTGACCCTGAAGGGTGCTGAGCAGCATCTTTGCCGTCTGCTTGCCACATACCAGTAGCACTCACCCAGTCGTGACAACCGAAAATGTCTCCAGTGGGGCCAGTGTCCCCTGGGGAGATAATTGCCCTTGGTTCAGAGCCACTATCATAAGGCCACGTCTTGCCCTTCAGAAGCCTCTGCCTGGTTACTTACCAGCACAGGAAATAGGAAGCCTGTCTCTCTGGGATCTCAGAAAGGCTGTGCACCCACCCTGGACAAACACACGTCGAAACACCTGTGCACATTATTCTGAGAAACAGTTTCAAGGAGTTAGGTGATTGTGGGTCCGGCCCTGAGTCCTGATTTGATGAAGCCCTGTATGGTGCACCCGGCAAGTGGAGGGGCATCATCTGGTGGGAAAGCCTTTCAGTCAGTTCCCGCAGATTTCTGATGAGGACTCAGAGCAGTGGGTGACTCGAAGGAGTTCTGACCTGACAGGTTCATGGCAGCGATATGCAGTGGAGCTGGCAAGGGGCGGCTAGGATAATCAGGGTCCACAGTCATGATCCTGGGCTTCAGATCCAGGGAGCACAGGAGGCGCCCAGCTCCTGAGACAAGGTGGATTCTGAAATGCTCATGTGAGAAGGTTACAGGGGGATCTTGTCCCACAGGCTGACAGGTCCTAGTAGCTGTCTACCACTTTAGGGTGACTCTTCAGAGAAGCAAGTACAGTGGACCTGTGAGTAATGAGCAGCCTGATATATGAACAACTTGGGTTACGCCCGGAATATTAGTTTTAACTTACACCCAAGTCTTGAGTTACAACCTGAATGCTGGCCGCTTTTGCTTCCAGATGCTCTCAGATACAGATTTAATCCTTAAAGAGTTCTGGAAGGAACATTACAACATTCTCTCCTGTGTGGGGTTAATGGAGAAATCCTGGGCCAATGTCTCACTAAGGACACTGAGATTTGCCTGGAAGAAAATGTGCCCTAAAATTATACAGGAGAGAAAATTTGAAGGCGATTGCCCACCTTGAGTTACAATCAGCTCTTGGAAATGAATTGAGTTGGTAAGTCAAGGGTCCACTGTATTAGGCTGGAGGCGTGGTTCAGTGGTAGAGCACTCACCTAGCATACATGAGGACCTGGGTTCAATCCCAGTGCCACGGAAGAGCAACCTGACACGTGTGCCTCCCGAATGACTCTCAGCTTGTGAGACCCCCGAGTCCCCCAGCCTTCCACTTTCCCAGAGCCACGAATTTGGAGGGGAAGATTCCTAGCCACACTGGTTTCATCCTGGACCAGGAGCCGAGGACTGTGTTAGGGGCAGGGTGAAGAAGGAGTCGTGGATCTCCTGGCTCTTTCTGAAGTGGCCCTTTCAGAGCCCTCCTGTGCCTCAGTGCTCTGTACCCTGGGATTCCAGTGTGGGAGTCAGAATTGCTGCCCCAGGAATGGGCGGGTGAGGGCAGGGAGCAAGGCTGGGCAGCCAGTTCTGTATTTCCTGACTCACACTCCACGGCCCAGCTCAGACCGGAGCACATTCTTTGCTGACCCTCAAAAGGTCTGCATGACTTCCCCGCTGGTACTTTAATGGGAAATGCAGAAAAAGAGGCCTGTGAGGAAAAATGACCAGTGGCCAAATTATTCAGCTGAGGGAAAAGAAGAATCTGGGGGCTGCTGCTGTGTTCAAGTCACTGTGCTAAATATATTCATGCATTCTTTTATTCATTGATTCAATAAATATTTTGTGGGGCTGTTGTGTGCCAGGCATCATGCCAGGCTCTGGGGATATAATGATAAGCAGTCCAAGATACGGTTCCTAATCTCACAGAGTGTGTGCATGAACAGGAACTGGAAGTAAACGATCACTCAGAATTATGCACTTGGTGCTTTGGAGGGAAGGGATACAGTTTTATGAGAACTTGCAAGAAAGAACATGCTCTTTGCTAACTTGGTGAAACTCAAATAGAAGAGCAGAGGAGAATGGCGTGGACAAAATCCCTGGAGTAGGAAATGGTGGCGAGCTTTGCCTAGCAACTGCAAAGTCAGTGAGGCTGGAGCCCAGAATAAGGGGATGTGTGGTATATACGGAAGGTAAACAGGAGCCAGACCACATGGGTCATTGTCACATCATCTTGTTTAATAATCTCAACAGCACTGAGAAGAAAGTAGTAGGAGCTGCATTTTACTGACGAGACGTTAGATGACTTGTCAGGCCCGCTGTTAGCCAGGGACACAGCTGAGAGCCTGCACTGGATCAGCATGTGGAGGCTGTCCCTTTCCACGTGACCGCACTGGGGACAGGGGGCACTTCAACATCTGAACAGTGACTTTACTGGGTGTGGGGACCCAGAGCTGGTCTCCCCGAGGGAAGGCGAGGACGAGAACCTGCTGCATCAAGATGCGAGGTTGCCATCAGGAGTGGCTTCCTGTAGCAGGGAACACTCAGGGTAGGTTCTGTTCATCTGGGTGATTTGGGCTGGACAGATTCAGCACAGAGAAAGATGCTGGACTACAGATGGCCTTTCTGGAGATTCTGCCTCCTCTTGGATTCTTGGTGCCAGGTGTTGTGTGGCATCTGGGTGCCTGGCATTGAGCGGATAAAGAAGGGTGAGCAGCCTGGGGAGGGGAGAGATGCCACAGGCATCTCAAGACAAGACAGAAGAGCCAGGGAAGGAAGCGATGTGCCGGGGCTCAGAGGAAGGGAGTGTGGGGCCATTAACATGGTTTGAAATTCTCACCTTTGAGCTCTTGGGTCTGAGACTCAAGCATTTATTTCCTCCATCTCCTCTCCATCATGCACGTGTCTCCTCTTTCTCTGTAGTCCCTATCTTCATCTTTGTCGTCTCACTTTCTCTCTCTCCTCTTCCCCTCCCCATCTTCCCCACACTTTCTCCACGGTGCTTGGCGGTGGGGGATCGAACGCAGAGCCTCTTACACTCTGGCGAGAGTTAGGCAAGCACTCTACCAATCCCCACATGGCTTCACTCTACTCAGGGTGGGCCTCTTCTCCCCAGCCAAAGCTTTTTCCAAGAGGCAGAAAATGTGGAGGAAGAGCTGTTGGTGTCCCAGGCTGGAGGAGCCAAGTCCCTCTTGTGTCTCCAGCTGCTCTGAGCTGCCACCAGCCACTTGGAATGGTTTGGGCTCCTGGAATGTTCTCCATGCAGCACCCTCCCTGACCCACCCTTCCCAGCCTTCCTAACGCCATTGCCTGGGTGCAGCTGCTCCAGGATTGGTGGAGAGGAGGAAAGCCACAGGGTGCCCAGGGTAGGGGAGGCTGGAGTGGCCCAGCCTGAGACTTAGGCAAGGGTGGGTGGTTCTAACCATTGTGACAGGCCAGAATTAGCAAGAAAGAATGAGAAGGAAGTCTCCATCTCATGATATTCCATCCACTCCAGGTGAGTGTTCTCATTCCCACTTTACAGGTGAAGAAACTGAGGTGCAGAAAGACTATAGTCAGAAAGAAAGGGAAGCCCACAATCATCAGTATGCAGTCCTGATGTGGTAAGGGGAGAGAAAGCCGAGAGACAGACAGAAAAAGGAAACATTTTCATATGGAAATCTGAGTCTGGAAACTTGGGGAAACTGAAGTTGGGCCCTGGGCTTGATTTTACACAGTCCTGGAAAAGCAGGTAACTTCCCAGAGGTCCCTCCTACTCAGCTCATGAGAAATGGAGCCAGCATTGAAGGACTTTGGTCTTCTTGACCCCCTGATTTGGGACTGGGGGCCAGGTGGGAAGGGTTGGGACTGAGGAAGAGAATGGAGTGGGAGAGGATAGGTAGCGGACAGCAAAGTGATGCCAGGATGGGGCTGGGCTGTGTGGCCACCCCTCACACAGGGTGTCTCCTTACATGGCGACCATACATGTTGCTGCTTGTACCCAGTGCAGTCCTGTCCCCCAGCTTCAGACTCCTGGTCCTTTGAGAGCTCCTCTGGCTTTCTGTGGTTTAGAAGGTGAAGGGCCTGGGCAGTGGCCATGAGACAGGCCTTGAGGACATGGCCAGCCTTTCATTTCTCATCTCTTGGGACTTCCCATGTACCATTCCACCAGCCCACCGTGTAAACCTGTCCTCAGGCTCATGGCTGCGGTTCCAGGGTAGGCTGGAAGCTAACTACGGGGCCTTCTCTCAGCTTCCTGTTAAGTACAGGAGTATGTGTTTTTTTGCAGGGGAGGTATAGGGTACTGTGAGTTGTTTACCCTCTGTGTGGACCAAGGTCTTGGCAGAAAGCCAATGGCTCATTCCAATGGCGCAACCAAAGGAGGGTTTAATGTTTGAAAGTCTGGGCGAATCAGTGAAGAATGTCACGTACCTTGCACTGTCCCTGGCAGGAGTAGGGAGCCATTGCCACCCCAGGCCTGAGGAACCAGGGTAGTCTGAAGGAGAGGGTGGTGACCAACCGTGGTCTTGGCTAAAGGATGCAGCCACTGATCATTGACCTCTCTTTCCTTCCTGCTCTTCTCCAGCCGGTCCCTCCTGGAGCCATAGGACTAGGGGTTGCAGGTGATATAGTAAGTAAAAGCCAGGCTCCAGGGATGCAGATCAGGGCAGAGAGGATGAGGATGGAGAAGTGGGGCAGAGAAGAGCATAGACTCTGGGTGTCATTGGTGTCGTTTCCAGCATGAGCACCAGGGACTGTGGGTCTCTTAGGTCTTCTTGGGGCTGGAGGGCGAGGCTTGTACATCTGCAGACTGGTGGGACAGGCACACACTAAGGGTGCTGTGGGCCAGGCCAGAACTCCTCTGGCTTTCTGTGGCTCAGACGTGGGAAGTTCTCTGCTCTGTAGGAGGCACTGGGAAGACCTGTTAGCGAGGAAGGCTCTGGGCACTTAGGAGGGGCAGGTGGACCCCCATGCTGTCTCAAGGTGGGAAGGAGAGGTGCTGTGCACTGTGGGAACTAGGTGAAGCTACATGAGCCTCTATTTGGAAGGGTCAGGAAGTGTTCAGCAGGAGTGATGGACCGGGCAGTGAGGAATGGGAGGGGAGGGTGGACTCTGGTCGGGTCACCTTAGCATGTCTGTGGGTGAAGTGCCCTCCAATGATCCCTCTGCCCAGCTGGGTTACCACCCCAGGGCAAGGTGCAGTTCCCCCAGGCTACAGCCACACTGAAGCCATTGGCCCCCCAATTTCACATGGCCCCATGTTCACGGGAGAATCAGGCTCTTTGCCAGTTGGTTGGCTCCTGGGCCAGTTCTGCCATTTTCTGTGTGACCAGGGCAAGGTACTTATGTTCTCCAAATCCTACTTTCCTCACATGACCATTTGCTAATTTTATGCTATGCATAGCCCTGTGGAGCTGGCACTCCTCCAGCCAATGGGCTGGTGTGTGGGTAGCAGTCAGCTCTGAGTGCCTATGTAAAACTGAGCCTCCTCTGGGCCACCCAGAACTTGCACTGGGGTAATGGCGTGCATGCCCACTGACTGCCTGTGTTTGGTGGACAAATCGCTCCACCTGCCTGGACTGAGGAGACAGTTTAGATCATGGGTCAGCAAACTCTGGCAGCTGGTCAGATCCTGCCTGCCACCTATTTTTGTAAAGAAAGTTATTACAACACAGCTGTGCCTGCTCAGTTAGCTGTTGTCTGCAGATGCTTTTACACTATAACAGCAGGGCCGTGCCACTGCAACAGAGACTATCTGACCCACCACACCTGAGATGTGTACTGCTGGGTCCTTCACAAAAATGCGTTCTGGCCTTGGGTCAGAGGACCTCTGTCTAGCTGTCCTGGAGCCCGAGCCTCCAGTGCCAAGTTGGCCTGGGGCATCTTGAGGTGGGTGGTGGCCTGGACTGCTCGAAGGATGCATTTAAAGGGGGCCTTGCTGGCTCATCTCACAAGCTGGACTCCAGGTCTAGGTACCCAGGTGGCTGCACCTGTGGTACCCTGGAGTAGACCTCCTTGCATCCACCCCTGGTCACATGTTCTGCGAAGGGCCATGGCCGGAAGGACTGTCCTCTGCTTGTCCTGGGGAGGCCTGTAGGTCTGGGAGAGGGTGCCTGGCCTGGGCCACCTCGAAAGGAGGCCCGGCTCTTACAAAGAGATCTTGCCACTCCTCCTTTCTGTTGTTGTTTTTTTTTTTTTTTTGGTACTGGGGATAGAACTCAGGACCTTGCACTTGTGAGGCAGGTGGCAGAACCACTGAGCTAAATCCCTGGCCGATCTCCCCTTCCTAATTGAGATCTCCTTGGAGATCAAGGGAGGGAGGTTCCATTTTAGTTGTCTTTCCCTGACTTGGTGACTGTCATAGTCCTGACCAGCAAAAGGTGCAGGGGCCCAAGCCATAGGGGTGCCCAGGCTCCAGCTCCTCAGAATCTAGGGCTGGCTTCAAGTGAGGCATAAGTGTGGCAGAGCCAGGCTCTGTGCTCAGCCATGGTCCCTCCCGGGACAGATAGGGACCATGGAAGGTTTGCAGGTGGGGAACCTCAGCCATCCCTGACCACATCCCTGGAGCAACCAAGTGCCTGCTTGCTCTTACTGTTAGCACTGAGTGATTGCCAGGCCCAGCCTCAGAGGCTGTGGGGGATGTCGGACAAGTGCTGGACCGGGAGCTGTGCCTCTTGCCATTTGACTTCCTGGCTTTAGACTCCTCCTCTGTAAAATGGCCTTTTTGGCTCTTTCCCTCCCTTGCAGCCTCTGCTTGGGCTATTCTGAACACCAGTGGGGATAATGTGTGTAAATGTCCTCTGTAAGCTGCCCAGTGCTGCAGAAATGCCAGAGGTGGGCACAGAATGTCCAGCTCCGCCTGGTGCAGTTTCTCTAGAGGAATGCTAAGCATGTCGGGTGGGGGGGGCGTGTCTTGACATGGAAGGGGTTACTGGGTGTGACTCACCGATAGGACTGTTGCTAGGTGAGCAATCTTGTTTCTGGATTTCTGGGGAGGAGCCCAGGGCTGTCCCGAGGTCGGGCAGAGCTGTGTCCACCTACAGCCCTAGACTCCAGCGGGGCCTGGTGGCTGGACAGCAGTGTCATGGAAGGAAAAGTGGCCACAAGGACACCAGCCATGGACAGACGTTCTGGTGCTTGGGGGGAAGACTCTCAGATGGCCATATGCAGAGGCAGAATCTGGGGTCCATTTGGGGACGCTTCTCCATGCCAGGCCCAGGTTGAAGGCTGTCTTGGGTGCCCCCAGGGAAAGTGCCCCAGCATCATGGGGGTCGGGTTCTGTGCTGTCTCCCCCAGGATGGACTCTGGGAGGCTGTGCTTCTTGGCAGGTTTGGTGGTGTCCACACTACAGCCCGGGCGACCCTCACTCAGTCTCTGTTCCTTTGCCCCTTCCAGAGCCCCGGAGTTATGTCGAGTCTGTGGCGCGGACAGCAGTGGCCGGGCCCCGAGCTCAGGACACTGAGCCCAAGAGCTTCAGCGCCCCGGCTGCCCAGGCCTATGGCCAGGAGACGCCACTGAGGAACGGGACCCTGGGCAGCTCGTTTGCCTCCCCCAGCCCACTGTCCACCAGCAGCCCCATCCTCAGTGCAGACAGGTAAGCCGGGAGTGGGGCATGCCCAGGTGAGGGGTGAGAATCCAGGCCTGGGTTGGGAGGGTCCCAGGATCTGCCCAGGGCCTGGGCGGGCAGAGATGGTGTCTAGATTCCTGCCCCTTGTGAACCACCTCATTGTGGCGCTTTGAGAGAGCATGTCCTGAGCCCCAAGTGGGAGTTGGGGGTGAGTGAGCTCTGATTCCCAGCAGACTGCATCCAATCCCCCCCATCCACTGTGGCGTTGGAAGGAGGGAAATGGACTTAGGTGAGGGATGCAAAGACTTTCCTCCAAGTTTGAAACCTAAAGCTGGGTATGCTGGTGTACAGCTGTAATCTTAGCATTCAGGGAGGCTGAGGCAGGAGGATCAAAAGTCTGAGCCTAGCCTAGGCATCTTAGCAACTTAGTAAGACCCTGTCTTAAAATAAAATATATAAAAGGGCTGGAGATGTCGTGCAAAGGCCCTGGGTTCAATTCCTGGTACCACAGAAATAAAAAAAAATAAAAATTTAAAAAGAAGTAAAACCTAGCAATGTATGTAGTAAGTGCTTCCTAGGCGCCAGGTACTGCCCTGTGTGCTCCATGCAGTTATCTTCATGGCAGTCCCAGGAGGTAAGCACTGTTATGCCTACTTTTCAGAAGAGGAAACTGAGGCACAAAGATGAAGTTACTTTCTCAAGGTCCTGCTGCTAAGCAGTCCCCGAAATAGGCTTCGGCCCAAAGGCCTGTGGTTCTGGAGCCCTCCTCTCTGTCTTCCTCTCTCATCCTGGGTTCTGGTGCTGCCCTTCATGGGATGAGAGCCGGATGTGCTCACAGCTGGCAGAGAAGGAAAGCTTGGAGCTCAGAGCAAGGGCCTTTATTTCTGGCTCAGGAAGCCTAGAGAATTTCTGAGGACTGAATCTATCTGTGGCAAGCCCAGGAGGGTGAGCGGGCATCAAGGGGTGAAGGAAGAACAGCACGGAGGGACTGAGTCTGGGGGTGTGGTGGGCTGGGTATGGGCAGCTGAGGTCCTGCAGCCTGCGAGTGCGGTGCGCAGGGACTCGGGGGGCAGGTATGAGTGCATCAGAGAGGGAAGACAGAAGGGGGCAGGGGAGCTGGATGGTCCCTGCGACAGCTTAGTGGGGAGAGGGCCCGTGCTTGGAGAGCAGTGAGAAGCTGCTCGGCTGCACAGTGGGAGTGAAGACTCCGTGCCTTGGGGAGGGAAATGACCTAGGAAAGGGAGGTTGCGATCAGCTTGGGTCAGGCCTGGAGGAGGACAGGCCCGGCAGGAACTCGCCCCAGGAGGGAGGACCATCCCTTACCGAACCCCTGCCCCTGCTAGCTTGGGATTCTGTGGGGCCAGCAGACTCCCGAGCCCTTTCCTTCCCATTTCTGCAAGCAGCCCTGTGGGCCATGCCTGCTGCTCACCGCAGGCTCAGCACAGCTTCCCAAGTTGGGAGGAAGCTGGGTGAGCTCTGCAGCCTCCAGCCACGCATGAACCTCCCAACGCAGTCCACCTCGCACCTCCCGGCCTCTTGACGGGAGGCAGAGGTGATTGCTCCGGAGGCCTGGCCCTGGGGGTCTCCCCGACTTGCCCCAGCCACAGGGGCAGACGTGGTGTGGGCCTTGGCTGTGGGAACTTCGTCCCCGCTTCTCACCAGAATCCCTTCTGCTGTAGTGTTGGCTCTTTGCAGGAGTCCGGAAGCTAGCATTTCTCTCCCGGGATTGATCTTCCAGAACTCTGGCTTAGCAGCCCTGGTCACCCCGGTGCATCCTGCTGTCTCTCTCATTCCTCACTTTATTCACTAAAGGTGAATAAAGGAGGTGGCATTCTGCTCTGGTCCCTTTGGGGCACGGGGTGGACTTTGTCCTGGCCTGGCCCCTGAACTTGCCCTGGTTCCTGCTACCCAGGGAGCCCAGGCAGGGAGCAGCTGCCTGAGACTCCCTCTGTGGGGGAGCATGGCACCAGCTGTGTGAGGACCTTTCCTCCCGTGGGGTCCTGGTGCAAGCCTCTTGAGGCTGCTCTTAGCCAGGCACTGCCAACCTTGTCTCACCTGCTGTGTCAAACGGGGAGAGGTTTACATCAGGAGGGAATCAGGGTCGACTCACTCACTCCCACATTTTCCACGTAGAAAACTTTCTTAGCAAGGACAATGCTGGTTCCCTAGCCCACAGGCCAGTGTATTATGCCGTGTCACTCTGTATGGTCCTGAACTTACTTCACAGCAGAACCTTTAATTGTGGCGAATACTCCAGACGTGTACTCCTTTATGAACTGAATTTTATCAGAATCTTAGAATGAGGAGTGACCTCTGAGCTCATTTAATCTAACCTCCCCAAGGAGGAAATTCCCTTCATAGCATTCAGGCCAATAGGTCTGTCAGCCTCTGCTTGAATGCTCCTAGTGACAGGAGCCTCAGCACCATGCAAGGCAGCTCGCTCTCTTAGTGGTCAGATTCAGTGGTTGGAAAGCAGAGCTTATGAGGAGTTGAAATCTCCTAGTTTGAACCTTCCCCCCATACCATTTCTTTGTGATTCTGAAGCCACCTGGGAGTGAAAGCCCAGTTGCAGTACTCTCAGTGTTGAAGCATGCTGACCATACACAGGGAGAAATTGAGTCAAGGTGGACTATGGTGTGAACAGGAGCCAGATGCCTTGATTCACTCTCCGGCGTGAGTTGTTGTGATGTCGGAGGCCATAACAGCAGTTTGGGTGGGGCAGTTTGGGTGGGGCAGTTTGGGTGGGGAAGATTCCTTTGGCTCAGGAGTCAGTGTGGCACAGTGGAAACAATGAGCTTTGAAGACAGAGTGGAAACCGTGGGCTTTTATGAGCTGTGTGTTTCTGAGCTTATTGGTTAGCCTCTCTGACCTTCAGTTTCTTCTGATGGTTCCATGAGGTAATGTGTGAAATCCCTGACATTCCAAGAGTTTGTGAGCAGAGCTCTGATTGTTGCTGTTTGGAGCTGGAAGGGAGGCTGGGGACTCACTGAAAGCCCCCTTCATTAAATGCCATGTGCTGACTTTTCAACTTGTCGTCTCTCTAGCACTTCAGTGGGAAGCTTCCCATCAGGGGAGAGCAGCGACCAGGGCCCCAGGACACCCACCCAGCCCCTGCTGGATTCTGGCTTCCGTTCCGGCAGCCTGGGGCAGCCCAGCCCTATGGCCCAGAGAAGTTACCAGAGCCCTTCTCCTCTCCCGACCATGGGCAGCAGCTACAGTAGCCCCGACTACTCACTTCAGCAATTCAACTCCTCTCCGGAGAGCCAGGCCCGGCCTCAGCACGGCGTGGCCGGCATCCACACAGTGCCAGGGAGCCCCCAGGCCCGCCACAGGACAGTGGGCACCAACACTCCCCCCAGTCCTGGTTTTGGCCGGCGAGCCATAAACCCTGGCATGACTGCCCCTGGTAGTCCTGGCTTGAGCCACCGCCAGGTGATGGGTCCATCAGGCCCCGGTGTCCATGGGAACACGATTTCCAGCCACCAGAGCAGTGCAGCATCCACTCCAGGGAGCCCCGGCCTGGGCCGGCACCCTGGGGCCCACCAAGGCAACCTGGCCACCAGTGTCCATGGCAACGCAATAGCCAGCCCCGGAAGCCCCAGCCTGGGCCGTCACCTGGGAGGGTCCGGATCTGTGGTTCCCGGCAGCCCCAGCTTGGACCGACACGTGGCCTATGCTGGCTATTCCACCCCTGAGGACCGCAGACCCACACTGTCCAGGCAGAGCAGTGCCTCCGGCTACCAGGCTCCTTCCACGCCCTCCTTCCCCGTGTCCCCTGCCTACTACCCAGGCCTGAGTAGCCCCGGCACCTCACCCTCGCCAGATTCTGCAGCCTTCCGCCAAGGGAGCCCGACGCCAGCCCTGCCAGAGAAGCGGAGGATGTCTGTGGGAGACCGGGCCGGCAGCCTCCCCAACTACGCCACCGTCAACGGGAAGGTGTCCTCCTCACCCGTTGCCAGCGGCATGTCTAGCCCCAGCGGGGGCAGCACGGTCTCCTTCTCCCATACTCTGCCCGACTTCTCCAAGTACTCCATGCCAGGTAGGACTCTCCTCCTGCCTTTGTCCCTGCTCTTGTTGACAAATCAATCCCAGTTAGGACATCTGTCCTGACCATCCCTTGGCATAGGATCTTGGGCGAGTCCCTGACTTCTGAGCCTCAGTTTCTGTATCTGTGTAATAGGAGTTGGAGGTGTCTTCAAAATGTGGCTGTGAGTGTGAATGCTGTCATGAGGATGTGAATGGGGGTGAAGGGGATGAAGGTAACAGTAATAGTACAACTGTTGTCGTGTCTAGCATTGCCACACCCATTTGTTGGGCACATGTGACATGCCAGCCTCAGAGCTAAGTACCATCTCACTTAATCCTCATGGCTCCCTGGTAAAGTAGGTTCTGTTACTCCTCTTTTACACTAGGAACAAGCTGAGCTTCCAAAGTCTTTGTCATTTGTCCAGAATCCCACAATGAGTGGCAGAGCTAGGTTTCCAGTTCAGGTCCACACTACCTCAAAACTCATTGTCTTAAAGCATTAGTAGATTGATTGTCTCTATCATGTGTCCATGTACTTTTCAGTACTGAAGATTGAGCTTTTGTGCTGAGCTCCAGTCTTTTTCTATTTTTTATTTTGAGGCGCCATCTAGCTAAGTCACTGAGTTGTCCAGGCTGGGCTTGAACTTGAGACCCTCGTGTCTCAGTTTCCCCGAGTGCTGGGATTACAGGCCTGCTCCACTATGCCCGACTATGTGTCCCTACCATGAGCATTGCTGTGATGTAGCATAACTTTGAAAACGTGCCTTCCAAACATGGGCCTCTCTGCCTTTTACGAGCCTCACTGTGGACGTCAGTAATACCAAGTCTGGAGGCCAGATGTGACTCGGGGCAAGGCTGGGGCTTGGACGTTTTCTCAGAGCCGAAGTTGTCCAGACTTAGTTCACGGAAGCCCATGTGGGTTTGCACAGTGAGCTCTTCACCCGGGACTTGGCATCTTCGCCTCCGCCCTAGATAGTTCATTATCGAACATCAGAAAGGTCAGAGCCTGGCGTCACCCTCAGCTCCTCACACTGCCCCCCACATGGCCCGAGGCCCTGTATGTGCCAGGCAGATGTCAAGTGTCCCAGGCTGCCTTGGAAGGGTCCAGCCACCCAGCTTCTCCCCATGTCACTAGCCCCGGCCTGCCCTGAGCCTGCTGAGTCTGGACACCTAGGGTGACCCAGCACCCCCTGCTTCCTGCCGCCTACTGGGGACATCTGGTTCCCAGCCCCTCTCCTTGAAGGATGCAAAACTTCTAGTAGTTGGGACACTTCCTGTTTCCCACCATCTTCGCGGTTTAAAATAGCCTTCGGAGTCAACACAGGAAGGCACAGGGGACTGTGGCCGCCTCTGACAGCTCGTTAAAAGGGCGGATGGCGGCAGTGGCTGGGGCTGCAGAGCAGCGACAAGTAGCCTGTAGCCCTTGCCCAGCCCAGCTGCTTTGCCCAGTGGAGGAGCTGATTTCCCTTCCTCCTCCCCAGCCTCTGGAGATGGAGCACAGAAGCCTGAGGAAGGGACACTACCGCAGAAGTGGACGGAGCCCTGGAGAGGGGTCTCCCAGTCAGCTTCTCTTCCTCAGCAGCATCCTTAGCACAGGGCCCCTGCTCCAGCCTCTCCCCAACACAGGGGAGGAAGAATGTGGGACTGAAATATTCCTTTTTTCCTCTTCCTCCTCATCTTCCCTCACCCCTCTTTCTTTTTATTTTCTTTGGTGACAAAAGGTGAAGGAACAAAGTTAGACAGGAGGAGTAATCTCTAGCACTCTGTAGTGCAGTGGGGTGACTGTAGTTGGCAATAACCTGTCGTATATGTTATATAGAACCACATGGCCTCTAGATGCTAGGCCAGCCCTTCCTTGTTTGTCCCAGGGCAGCCGTGACTTTTTGCCTTCTGTAATGCAGGACACCAGCTTTGGGAAAGACCAGGGCATGGCAGAAATGGTCTTTCTGCCCTTGTCCTCTCAGCTGTTGTGCTTCGGTTGGGAGAAGGGGCTGGGGAGGGTGTCTTAGCCGGCAGGAAGTGGGAAGATTACTCCAGAATCTTCTGGAAGAAGAGGGGAAGGTGGGAGAAGACTGTGGATTGGTTCCGTGAGACTGTCAGGCTAGCCCTTCAACAGCAGGGCAGCTCCCCGCCCTGGCAGGAGGCCGGAGGCAGGGAAGGGACGAGAAGGCCGCTCCCTCCGTTCCTTCTCATTATGCTCTGCTATATTGGAGGACACTCGCTTTCTCTGTTGGTTTCCTGGGGCCGCCATAACAAAGTACCACACACTTGGTTCTCAAAACAACAGCCGTGGATTCTGTCATAGGAATGGAGGAGACGGGTCCAAAGTTCAGGTGTTGGCAAGGTTGGTTCCTTCTGGAGGCTCCAGGGGCCGTCTGCTCTGGACCTGATCCCAGGCTCCTCTTGTAGCTGGCCATCCTTGGCGTCCCTTGGCTTGGAGACTCGTCATCCCACCTTTGTCTCTGCCTCCACATAGTGCTGTCCCTGTGTGTCTGTGTCTCTTCTTGTAAGGCCTCTAGTCACATTGACTCGGGGCTCACCCTAATCCAGCACAACTTTATCTTCACTTTGATGACATCTGCAAAATTTGATGACCCTATTTCCAAATAAGGCCACATTAATAAATCTTCAGAGTTCTTCAGTGTATCTCTTTGGGGGACACAGTTCAACCCATAACACTTTCCTTTCCTCTCCTCCTGTAGACAACAGCCCTGAAACACGGGCTAAAGTGAAATTTGTCCAGGACACTTCCAAGTATTGGTACAAGCCCGAGATCTCCAGAGAGCAGGGTGAGTGCTGGGTGTGCTGGGGGCTCTGTGGTCCATCCTGGCTGCTACCTGCCATGTCTGCCTAGGGCAGCGAGCAGGACAGACTTGTTCCTCTTTGCATAGGTGATGGTCACAGAAAGGGTGTTGGGATAAAGTCAGATGTTAGGAAGCTCTTCCCATGGAAAGGGGGATGGCAGAAGCAGTGGTTGTGGATGCTCCTAGGAAAGCCATGGTTTCCTTGGGAAAAAAAAGATCAGCCAAGATAATAGGAAACCTTAGCTCTCTTAGCTCTGGGGGAGAAGGTTGCATTTTACAGAAGGAAAAAAAAAAGTTAGAAATGTGCAAATAGAGATGAAGTCCACATCAGGGTCTCAACGAAAGTCTGCGTGGATGTAGAGTGTCTCAGCAGACAGCTGCCTGTAAATAAAGTTTTACTGGGACACAGACACACCTTCTGTGTGTGCCTTCTGGCTGCTTCCTGCTGTTGAGGCAGGCTTGAGTAGTCGCAACAGACTGCATGGCCTACAAAGCCTGAAATATTTAATGTCTGGCCACCTTGGTACAGGATGGCCCTCAGGAGTGTTTAAACCCTAACATTCATGAATGTCATCACCTGAGAGAGAATGAAGTGCGGTAGGCCCTGTGGGACTTAGGCAAAGGCAATGTCCTCAGTTTCTTATTTCCTTTTCTTTCTGTGTCTCCTTCCAATGCAGCCATCGCACTCCTCAAGGATCAGGAGCCAGGGGCCTTCATCATCCGTGACAGTCACTCCTTCCGAGGGGCCTATGGGCTGGCCATGAAGGTGTCTTCACCGCCTCCAACCATCATGCAGCAGAATAAAAAAGGTATCATCATCTCCCAGCATGGGCCCGGGACATTACCATTGCAATTCCGGGGTGTGGGAGGGTGCAGGGACCAAGCACGAGGCCACCTCTTATGGGAATCTGGTCCCTCCTAAGTGTGACTTTTCTGAAGGGTGAGTCTTGGGCTTGCGAAGGTGGGGTCAGAGAATAAATAGGGAAACGAGGTCATGGGGACTGTGGTGGCTTCCTGGAGGGGTGGAAGAGGAGCAGTGGCCATTTCCATCCTGCAAAGTTCTAGCCATTTTGTCTCTGCCACACTTCCTCCCATCCTGTCCCTGGACCCTGGAGAAGTTGGGAAGCAGTGTTGGGAGCTGGGTGGAGGGTGCCTTGAGAATAAAGTGACCAAATCTCTCTTCCTCTTCCTTGAAGGAGACATGACTCACGAGCTGGTGCGCCACTTCCTGATAGAGACTGGCTCCAGGGGCGTCAAGCTCAAGGGCTGCCCCAATGAGCCAAACTTCGGTGAGCTGCCCCTGCCTCTGTCACTGTGGTCTGGCTGCAGTCCCAACCCTGTCCCAGGTGCCCCTGGATCTGCCCAAGTTCTTTCCGCCATGGGCATCACAGACTTGGCAGCAAAGAGGAGCAGGGCTTCTGGACAGCGGGTCTTTGACTCCACCAGCTTCCCTTCTATGTTGTCCTCCCCACTGAGACGGGTCATTACTGTAATTAGATCAGCTGTCACAACATCTGCCCTAATTGGCCACTACTATGTGGCACTTAACATTTAGCTGCCCTCTACCAATCCCGGGCTCACGATATTCCTGCATGGTAAATGTCACTGTCCGCATTTTGCGTGCAAGGAAAGTTAGATTTAGCCAAGAACACATAGATAGTAAGTGACTGAGCTGGGATCTTTCCCTGCGGTTTTCCTCATTTCTACTCTCTTGATCTGAGAGGGGCCCCCCTAACTGGAGGGACTTAGGAGAGATGCCAGGGGGAACTTTCTGTACCGGAAAGTTGTTAGGTCACCTTGTGACTGCTGGAGTAAATTTAGGAATCTTCTTCCTTGGATCTTGCTAAAAAAGAGGGAGTGAGTTTTTAGCTGTGTTAGCAGGATGAGAGGCAATAAAAAAGCTGAGGGCTGGAGGTATAGCTCAGTGGGAGAGCACTTCTCTAGCTTGCTCTCAGGCTTAGGTTTGATCTCCAATTCTGTGAAAATAAAAGGCTGAAGATGCTGTGTAGTGGGATGAGGGTGGGGTTCCCACGGCCCTTAGCGCACTCAGCCCCTGAAAGGCTGTCTCACCCCTGCAGGCTCCCTGTCAGCCCTGGTCTACCAGCACTCCATCATCCCGCTGGCTCTGCCCTGCAAGCTGGTCATTCCAAACCGAGGTAGGTTGTGAGACTGCACACCTTTGAGCTGCCTGCTTCCTGTCCTGGCCGTGCCAGCCACTCCAGAAAGTGGGCCAGGGTTGGAGGACACCTGTCACCTTGCCAGTACGGGAAACTCAAAACCATTCTCTTTTTTCCTTATTAAAAAAGGAAAAATTCATTTAAAAAAATTGGCTCCAGGAGCATACATAAATTGCCTTTCCAGATTGTTCTAGAAAATACTGTGGAGGCTTCAAGAAATTCCTATTTCATTCTCAGAAAAAAAGCCTCATCCTGAGGGAGGCCTCAGAAGTAGGAGATATTCTTGAGGTTGAGATAAAGCCTCTGATATTAATTGACAATCATTATTTATCTAGGTCATTGAATTTTTAATAATAATTGACCAACATTATTAGCTTAAAGTTCAAATACATCTGAAGTAGCATTATTAACCACACAATTTTGACACTAATTAAGTTGTATTTTAATGGAATGTACTGCAGTAGTTCAGCAGTTACAAAACTTTTACATTTAAGTTGTATAAACCAGCAGTTCTCCAAGTGTGGTCCCTGGTTCACTGACATCAGTGTTGCTGAGAAAAATATTCTCCAACTCCCCCTCAGAAACTCTGGGTTGGGCCCAGCAATCTGTTGTGACAAATCTTCACACCCAAGTATAAGAAGCACTGGTACTGATAAGAGCTGTTTCTTATTCTTATTTTTTTCTGATTTTCTTTTTTAAAACGTTTTCGTTAAAGTGTAGGTGAAATTAAAAATTAGACTTCATCCAGTGTATAACATGTTTTGACACACACACATTGTGAAATGATAAAATCGAGCTACTTAACCTATCTGTCACTTAATTCTTGTTAACCTGGAAGGGATTCTTGTTGCTGCCTTGGTGATTTAATGAATGAGGACATGTGTTGATCTACACAAAGTCAGATCAACACAAAACCACAACAGTAACACCAACCACTGAGCTTGAAGGCTTCTTGTTTGCCAAGCACTGGGCTTAAAACTGTAAATGGAATGTCTCAAAAACCCGGTGATGCGGACACCAGCGTTGTCATCCTCATTTATAGACACTTAGCAGATGCTGAGGGTGAGGTTTGAGCCCAGCTCTGCTCGATTCCAGGGCTCTGGACAGTGTGCTGAGCGCTTGCAGTGGCCACTGAACATTCCGACAGTGTATAACCCAGTGTTGACTGCCAGGGCCTGCTAGGAAAGGCAGTACTCAGTGCACAGAATATTGCAGAGCTCTCTCTAGGCCCAGCCAAATGCATGCCTCTTTCCAGCTCCAGGGATTTAATTACCAGCTGAATTTTTGTCTCAGATCCCACAGATAAATCGAAAGATAGCTCGGGCCCTGCCAACTCCACCACTGACCTGCTGAAGCAAGGAGCAGGTGAGTGGTCACCTGAGACTGGATCCCTGCCCGGGTCTTTCCTTCTACCTTCCTGCCCTGTCCCCTCCTGCCGCAGAAGCCTGGCAGTCTCTCCCAGGCCAAACATCTCTAGGCAGATCACATTTCTATGTGCAGATGCTTTTTTGGCCCAAGGCTGGCCTGAAATTCATCTGCTACGTTTTCCCTGAAGAGGGAATGTGGGATATTGTCCCCATCCCACTCCAGCCCACACAGTTTCTCTTTGATTTGGTTTCCTCCAGCCTGTAATGTGCTCTTCGTCAACTCCGTGGATATGGAGTCACTCACTGGGCCGCAGGCCATCTCAAAAGCCATATCGGAGACATTGACTGCTGACCCCACACCGGCTGCCACCATTGTTCATTTCAAAGTGTCCGCCCAGGGAATCACACTGACTGACAACCAGAGAAAGTAAGCCTTTTCCCTTTGCTTCTGTGTTGGGCCCTCCTTCCTGCAACCCTGCTATCCACCCACTCACCGTGCACTTATCAACGGATTCATCTCTGGTACTCATCTACCTCATATCCCCTGTACCATGTATCTTGCATCCATTCTCCTAACTCATTTGTCTGTCTGTCCATCCATCCGTCCATCCATTTGTTCATTCATCCATCCATTTTCTCACTCACTCACCAATTGAGCCATCCACTCACTTGTATCCATTCATCCCCCACTATTCTCCTCTTCCATTTATCCTTTCATCCATCCATCCTTCTATAAGGTTTGTCTCCGCTGGGTATTCAGCTGTAGATATAACTGATAAAAAGTCACTGCTTCCTAGGAGCAGAGCCCTTCCTCTTGGCCCCTCTCCTAACCATGTCCCCAACCCAGTTGCTTTGTCCTTCAGGGAACCCCCATTTCTCATTCCCCAGCATCAGTTTCTTTCCCAGCAACTGAGACATGTTTCTGTGGCGCATCTGACTGTCTCTGTGCGTTATTCAGGTCCCCAGGGTGAGTGGCTCAGGCCATTGCGCTCATAACCAAGAGGGAGTCTGTGTGGGCCACCTGCAGGCAGAGATGGTGGAAGGTGGCCTGGCTTGCAGGGAGAAGGTAGGGAAACACAGTCACTCTGGCACTCATTCTCTGCTTGTGCCATAGGCTCTTCTTCAGGCGACACTACCCCCTCAACACTGTCACCTTCTGTGACCTGGATCCACAGGAAAGAAAGTAAGTCTCTTTAGACCCCTTCGGCCTCCCACATCTCTGACTCACTAACATGTGGATCCGTGTGCATGTGTGCATGTGTGTGCTTGGTTCAGTGTGAGAATCCTCACGTGTCTGGGGAGTGTGGGTGACCATGCTGGGCATCCTCCTGAGTCTTCCCACCTGGAGATCCACTTCCACCCCTCTGCTGTGGGCCTGATCCTGAATCTGTTTCTTTCTCCACACCTGGGAAGGCACTGTCTTCTATCTCTCTGAAGTGGGGCTCCTCTGCCTTCCCGGAAGGTCTGGGCTGGGCAGGATGGCTCCGGGAGAGGTGCAGTGGTCCACACTGAGCATCTTTTTCTTCACAGGTGGATGAAGACAGAGGGAGGTGCCCCTGCGAAGTAAGTGTGGCTTACCCCCTCACAGCTGACTGGAGCAAGGGACAGGGGCTGAGAAAGGGCAGCAAAGACCTTTCTGCCAAGGTCACTGAGTTTTGGAGAAAGAGTATAGCCCATATCTGTGGGGTTAGCAGGGGCAAGTATGTTTAGGCGGGAAAAAATTGGGGGAGAGAACAAATATTTTTAAATGGGCCTTAGAAGAGAGACTGTTTTAGGGGAGAGGGGTGGCATGACCAGGCTGCAAACCCCACAAAAGTAGGGTAGGTCTGACCGGGGTGGCGGCAGCTAATGACTAGTTTTTAAATGAAGACATAAGAAAACAAATAAGCACGCCTGTAATCCCAGCACTAGGGAAGCTGAGACAGAAGGATTGCTGTGAGTTCGAGACCAACCTGGGCTACATAGTGAGTTCAAGGCCAGCCTGGAGTACATAGTGAAACCCTGTCTCAAAAAACCCAAGAGAAAAAAAAAAGACAGAGAACAGAGGCAGGGTGGAGGGAGTAGAGAGTCAGGAGCGGGTGGAGTGAGGCCACCTTGAGGGGGAATGGATGGCCCTGGCAGTGATCTGGGCATGATCGACAGTGGGGACTCGCGAGAGCCTGCTTGGGAGGAAGGGAGCGTCAGGCTTCCCCAGTGTCAGAGTACCATCAGGAGCTCTGAGTCCTTGCAGCTCCCTCCTCGAGCCCCTTCCAGCCAGACAGGCTTGCAGACGGGGCAGGTGACAGGGTTAGGGTGGGCGTGAGCTGGCCAGGTCTCCCTCCACCGGGAGCTTGGGGACGCCCCTTCCCTGCCTGCATGTCCCCGAGCATAGCCCCAGCCGGCCTGGAAAGAGGTGCTGGGGGCTGCGCCGAAGACCACATTTCCCCACTACCCGTGTGTTTCCTGGTTATTCTCAGCCCTGACACAAAGCTGGCGGAGCACAGACGTAGGAAGTACAGGGCTGTGTGTCTGTGTGTGATGCGTGTGGTGCGTTTGTGTGCTATGCCTATGCGGGTGCTGGGTATACGTATGTGCGGTGTGTGCAGCTGTGTGTTGTGTGTCTGCTGTGGTGTTACAGGTGCGGAGTGTGAAAGTGTGTGTGCGTATGTGCCTAGTGTGTAGGTGGTATGTGCAAGTAAGTGTGGAGGTATTTGTGTGCTGTGCACACGTGTATGTGGGATGCGGTGCGCGTAGGTCTGGCATGTGAGTATGGTGTGTGCACCCCTGTGTATTTACACACACATACGCACCCGCACACAAGCACCAACACACACTGGCAGGCAGAACCCAGCCTTGCTAATCTTAGCTGTGGCTGCCGTTGCGGGCAGAGGGGTTTCCATCGGAATCTCCAGCTGTCCAGATTTCCTCATCTCGCTCTAATTAGCAACATGCCGGCTGGGAGGGGCCTGTGCCCACATTCTGTTCTCTGCCCTCATATTTTTAACTCTGTTTTGCAAAGAGAGAACTTTAGGTCACTCCGGCCTTGGTGGGGGGGGGCACAGGTGTGGGGCCCGCCCTCCCATTCTCTGTGAGCCCAGGAGGAGTGTGTGTATGTGTGTGTGTAGGGCAGGGCCCTGCCTATCCTGCTTCGCTGATCCTGAGAGCCATGGTGTCTTCGGGGGGCGCCTCTGCCTGGCAGGCCTCAGGCAGCGCTGTTTCTCTGCCGTGTTGGGTGCAGGACCAGCCAGGCCGGGCGGGGCTGGGAAGAACAGAGGCGCTGGCTCGCCTAGGAATGTTCCCGTTTTATTTCTGGTCTCATCCCCACCCTACTCTCCAGTCTCCTCATTCACCCCCAGCTCCCCCTCCCACCTCTTGGAGGGGAACCTTGGCTGCTCTGAAACAGAGAGACACTGTCCCCAGGACTGGGCTTTGCTGCAGTGCGGTGGAGAGGGCTCCCCCTGATGCTTGGGGGGCCACAGGGCCGGGGGGCAGGTTGGCCTGAGTCCAGCTTGTCACCTGCCTGGGCTGCTCTCCTGGCCCCCTCAAGCCTGACACCCTTTCCTGCCCCTGCAGGCTCTTTGGCTTCGTTGCCCGGAAGCAGGGCAGCACCACGGACAACGCCTGTCACCTTTTTGCTGAGCTTGACCCCAACCAGCCTGCCTCTGCCATTGTCAACTTTGTCTCCAAGGTCATGCTGAGTGCCGGCCAGAAGAGATGAATGCCCAGACCCCTTGCCCAGGCCAGGGCAGTGGGGACGGGGCATGTGGGGAGGGGACCCAGGAATCCTGACCGTCTTGAATCCAGGAGGACTTTGGGCCAATTTTGGAGAAGGAGAGAAGAAAGTGCATCGTGGGGAGAGGGAAGTGAATTGTGGAGGGGAGGGGGAGAGGGAGACAGAGAAAGGAAAGATGGAGGAGCAGAACTCATATCCCCTGGGTAGACGGAAACTGCAAAATCCCAAAGCCTCCCAAACCAGCCAGTTCCCCTTACTCCTCCACCTCCTCTGAGAAGACAGAGTTCCTCAAAGGGCACCAGCAGGCCTCCTGGGACCCATATTTTACAGCAGCAGGATAGATCTGTCTTGCTAACCACCCTGCTGCGTAAGGAGAAATCAAGCTGAGAGAATCTTTTTCTGGCCACCTGTATGTAGGTCCCTAAGCTAAACAGCCAGGGGCAGACAGGAAGTGGTGGAACTTTTTCCTCCACAAGTGTCTCAGACCCAAGCCACCTCAGGTCTGAGCCGTGCCTCCGATGTATGATTGTGTGGATGCATAGACATCTCCCACCACATCCTCACACACTGATTTGTATCTGCCTCTTTCTGCTAGAATCATAAACAGCTCTACTTGTTTGTGTTGTATATGCTGGCAGCACATGTGTGTAAGATCCAAAGGTTAGGTTGGGGGTGACAGGGTATCAGGGAGTGGACAGAAGCCTCTCTTGCAGGAGCATCCAGGACAGAGAATCTTTTTCCTGGTCCCCACACCTGCTCTCTAGAGGCCTTGGGTGCCACCAGCCCATCCTCCTGTGTGAGACCCTGGCAGGAGGGGTGGCCTCCTGTACAGCATTCCCTGTCCTGTTCTGTCTCAGTGGGGAGGCTGGAGCAATAGTTTGAGGAAGTGCAGATGCTGGTGTCTGCAGTCTGGGCAAGGACCCATCAGGAAGGGTGGCTGCTCAGCTCCGGCTTCTTCCCCTGCAGTCTGCGAACTGGGCGAGCCGTCCAGCCAGGGCTCCGGACTCTGCCTTACTCCTAGCTGTCTGCCGTTCCTGGGCTTGGGGCCCTAGTACCAGCCTTATCTCAGATTTACTTACCTGCATGATGCCTTTTGGGGGGCTAGAGCTGGAGCCTTCCAGATCTGCCCTGCTCTGTCCTGCAGGGTCCTCATGTTGGGGCTCATCCTGGGGAGCCTGCCTCCTAAAGCCCTGCTCACCAAGGCCCTAGGGAGAAGCCTGTTAACCCTGTCTCTCCTCTGAATATTTTGGGGTCTGACTATTGCAGGTGTCCTTCTGGCTGGGCTACCGAAGCCAATATCAGAGAGCTCCTAGGGCTGCTACCAGAGCCCCACATGGCCTGCACACAATGCCAAAGAGCCATGCTGCCCAGGGAGCAGAGAGCAAGTGTGCATTTAGTCCACAGGACCTAGGGTCCATTTGGACAGTTGGGAAATCCCCTAACCACCTCCCAAGGACCCTAAGCCAGAAGGAAAATTCATCAGGACTCCTTTCTTAAGCCTATAGAGGTCCCCTAGAAAGAGGCATTGTACTGATATATAAATATATATAATATATACATGAGACATACTGACAGAATCTGTAAGGTAATAAAATAGAAGGAAAGGTTAAAAAAAATAGGTAAATTGACAAGAAGTATTTATTGTTTTCCCATGTCGCTTTATGGCCTCCCTGGGCATAAACCAGTTCCAGTGCCCTTTTTAATGTGTAAGTAGAACCTGGGGCCTTTATTCTTGAGGAGCACGGGGTCTCCATGCCTTGGCCTTGGCCTAACCTAGGCTACGTCAGGCTCAGTGGGAGGGGGTGCGATGCCCCTTCCCGTGTGCTCTCATTTTCTGGCAAGCCGGGGCCCAGTGGGTAGCTCCCTGGGAATGTGGGGAGCCCCTTTCTCCAGGGCCTGGCGAATGTGTGTGTGCAAGGACGCAGGAGTGTGTGGCCACAGCTGTGTGCTTCTCTTGTGTTTTCTTCTCCTCCAGGTAACTGTATCTGTGTGGACCTTCTGTTTCAGTGAGCTGGAAAGGACAGTGTCTGTTAGATGGGGAGCAGGGACAGAGGCCCCCCATTTCCCAAAGGGTGAAATGTTGGGCTTAGTGACCAAGGTCTTCCAAAGTGCCCTTCTGAGATTTTCAAGCCAAATGCCCACATAGCCCCTCTCCTTCTTCCCTAGTGAACCCTAGTTCTCTTCCAGGATAGAAGGAGATGCTCCTCATCCCTTTTCTTTGTAAATACCCTATCTCCCTCCACATCCTGGGAGGTCTTCTGGGTCCGGGTGTCCCCTCCACACTTGAGGCTGGGCTGAGCATCAGACCCTCCGGCAGCCTGGCCCGGGCCCATGACTGAGTCTGGGGTCAGCCTGCCCACTTAGTTTCCCACCTGCCCTCTGCCCCCGAGTGTGGCCACCCCTGCACTCCAGCTGGAGCCCTGGAGCCATGGGCGAGCCACGGGAAGGACCCAGGTCTGCACTGGCCAGCTGATCACTCACTCCCAGCATGCTTCTGAGTGTCCTTTCCAAAGGGATGATGGGAAGGGACCCAAGTCTCCACAGTGACCCCACTTGTGGGAACACACTGTAGTCTGCTTCCCTTCCCTATCCTGTGTTTCACAAGTGGGCCTCTGTACACACACACACACACACACACATGCCACTCTGCATCATCGCAGTCTATTCTTGCCAAAGATATCCTTTTTTTTTAAAAAAAAGCACTTTTACTCATTGTTATTATTGTGTGAATGTTTGTCCTCCCCCTCTCTTTACCAGTTTTGCTGTTGTTTATTGTTGAGTCTGTTTGTCAGCAAGGAGAGTGCTGTCTGGTCTTAAACACGAGCCGGGATGGGAGGAGGTCTGGAGGAACGGCAGGAAGGAGCGGGAGACACATGGCCGGCCCACAATGCTGCAACCAGACTGCAGATCCCTAGGGCAGCCTCAGGCCTTGCCCTTACGGGTCTGTTCAGCGTCTGGAGGTGAGGGAAGGGACAGAGCAGGGAAGGGACAACTGTGGACAGCAAGGAGTGGGCCCAGTGAGGTCCCTGTGGCTCTTCTCATGGGGATAAAGGGGATCAATTGGACCTGAGAACAAAGGAGATGTGATCCCAGAAGGAAACGTGGAGAAAATGAGCTGTTTGCTCAGCCTCAGGGGTGACAGTGCCCTCCTGCTCCCAGGGAGTCCGGGACCCCTTATCTGAGGGACAGATGTCATGTTCTAGGATCAGGGGAGCCTTTTGACTCATCGCATGTGAACTGTGAAAGCTGTGGACTGCAGGATGCCTTCTCCCCTGGTTTTTTGAGGATTCCTTGGGGGTGTTCAGGAGTGGTCAGGATAGTGGGGCCCTTTTGGCCTGTGTGGTCCCTCTCTAAAGGGGACCCTGGGAAGGAAAGGGGCAGGGATCCTTCTGCCACATTCTGTTAGGTCTGGGCTGAGGTGGAGCAGACTCCTCATGCTGTGTGGGGGAGGCAGAGGGTTCGGTGACTGTGACTCGTGTCCACCCCACCCTGGGTTTTGTCCACCATCTTTCCTCATGGGGCTTCTCCCCCTCATTTGGTGTTTCCCAGCTTCAGGTCTCGAGGAGATCAAGTAGGTAGCATCCCTACCCATGGGAAGCAGCCCACCGCTACCCCACACTTGGGGTCCTTGCAGAGCTTCAGAGCAGAGTCTCAATGCCACCTTTCCACCTGGTCTAGGTCCCGGAACCCGGAGACTCATGGGTCCTTGTGCAGGGGTAACACAGGATGTGTGTGTGTGTGCGTGTGCAAGTGTGGATGTATGTGTGCGCATGTTTTGCTCATCTCTTTAGGGACTTAGAGGTTGGGGCAGCAAGCTCAATATGACCCAGCTGTGAGAGGGATCAGGAGGCGAGGCCTGTAAGGCCTCCAGTCAGTGGGGTTTCAGTGTTGAAGACAGGATCAGCCATGTGGGATGGGCTCAGGCAATGTGTTTCTTCTTGTCCCCTCTCTTAAAATATCTGCAAAGCTGGAAGATCTCACTCTGTTTCCCACACCTGAGCTCTTCCTAGCAGTGAGGGTACTGTTCAGCCACATCCCCCGTGTGTCCCCTAATCAGTGTTAAACAGTGTGACACTCTCCTGTGGTCCATGTTTGTGGTCCATGTGTGACAGCATGTCTGGGTGTGCATGCTGCGATTCCACCTTTCTCTTCTCCCTGACTTGTCACCAAAACAAATGCAAGAGACTCCTTACACCACCGCCACCACCCCACAATGCTCCCAGGCCCTTTTCAGGAAAAGCAGAACACCCCAGCATCCTCCCCTCCCGGGCTTTGTATTTATATAGATGGAAATATACTTTATATTTTGTATCATTGTGCCTATAACCTCTGCCACCTTGTATAAACCCTGACCTCTGCTTCTCTCCCCGATGTGAATGTACACAGATGCTGCCCCCACTCCTGTACAGCTGCTCAGTTTCTTCACGATCCATTGTATGGCTTCATAAATGATAAAGTGAAAGGAAATCCATGCTGTTACCCAGCTTTGTTATTTGGACAGGTTCTTCGGGGTCTCTGGCGAGTGAAGGGGGCCTCTCCCGGGCACCAGGTATGTGGGGCTTCCGTGATGCCTCTACGGTTGGCTCACCTCAAATCCTCCTAAAGGCTTCCCCACCAGCCAAGTCTGGGTCCTGGCCACCCTGTGTTATTTACCTGGGCTCTCAGCTGTGAGAGAAACTCAAATTCATTTAAGAAAAATAAAAAATAAAAAGAGAAGGGGGTTTCTGGGCCCAAGCAGCTGAGAAGTCCAGGCAGAGCTGGAGGCAGTTGCTCAAGTGGTGGGATCAGGAGTTTGTCCCGGTGCTTCATTCTGAGGCCGCACCCTCAGTCAGGCCGTGTCCAAGCATGAAGCCGCCGAACGCTGCGGCATCCATTGCACCAGCCTGGCAGCCTCAGCACAGAGCGAGCTCTTCTCTCCCCAAGTTCTCAGCAAGAACCTGAAACAGATGTTCACTGGCTCTGAGGGTCCTGCTTGGCTCAGAGCTCAGTCCACTGCCTCTGAGGCCCTCTGTAGCCACAAGACGGAGACTGAGGGATGGAGGGTCCCCAGAGGGGTGAGAGGAAAGGGGGACGGGAGATGTCCCATGAAACTGTGGGTGCCCATCAGGTGGAGTTCTCTTGTACACCTGGTGCCATGCACCCGTCTCAGCTTCCTGGAACTCTGGAAGTTTGGGTGTGGTCCCCGCGGAGGCAGGCTTGGCACAGCATGGAAGCTTCTGGGAGACCCCAAGTGCTCGCTCAGGGACACTGCTCCAGGTCTCTGCGTGCTTCCAGTGTGGCTGGGAGGGAGGATGCAGGGGAAAGCAGCACGTGCGCTGGCCACACACACACACTCTGCCCCTGCACACCGTGGTGCTGCAGCGAGGTCTCCTCTGGCTTCCGGGACTCAGTGCCTCCTTATGCTCTTACACATGATCGAGGGCTTTTGTGTAGGTGGTTTCTATCTTCTGATCTTCACCATAGTATCAACTAAAACAGAGAAGACTTAACAAAAACACTTAATAATTCACTTCCACAGTAACACACTCATTAGGTGTTAACGTTAATAATATTTTAATGAAAGATAATGATGTTTTCTCAGATGGAAAGGATTGGGTGAGAAGCCCCATGTTTTAAAGCCTCTTTGATGTCCAGCTTTGAAGAGAGCTGACTGTTGTCTGCCTCTGGGGCCCGAGACACTTCACTTCGAGAAAATTCAAGAATAGACAATAGTGGCTTAATACTATAAAAGGGTCTCAGGAAACGGGTTTGGCTCATGACCTGAGGACACATCAGGAAACAGGATTTGGGAGGGCACCCTCTTCTGACCGCCAGAGCTGCCACCTGTCATCATTACAAGTGAGAGCTAGCACTCAGTGGACACGTGGCAGGTGTGAGTCAACCCTGAGCCTTAGGTCTCTGCTCGTGTACACGCCCCTGTGAGATAAGCATTCTGCCGGTCCTCATCTTACCTGTGAAGAAACAGCTTCAAAGAGGGTGAGGCACTTGCTCAGAGTCACAAAGCTGGGCTGAGTAGCAGAGCCATATGATGAGCCCAGGTGCCCTGACCTTCCATCCGGGCCCTTCTTAGCTTGGGGCTCTTTCTTTGCACTCAAGGGAGAGACAGGCTGTGGTGAGCAGCTGCACACAGGAGTCCAGAGAAATGCACGGGCCTGACAGGCACACAGGGGCTGGGCCATCAGGCTGGCTTCCCCAAGAGTGGGCTGTTGCTTCTGGAAGTGGGGTGGGGAAGCTCAGGGTTGTCCTCTGCTGCTGCCTGGTGCCCGGTTGTCCTCTGCAGACCTCTTGGGTCTCTGCAGCCTGGGCCTGGCCAGGACGCAGCAGGGGTGAGTCCTAGCCTGGGTGAGCAAGAACTCTAGTGTAGCAGGCGTGCAGGGGCTGCAGAGTGCAGCGTGGCAGAGGGAAGGGCAAGAGGGCCGGAAGACAGAGCCGGGACAGGATGAAAGGGACTGAGAGGCTCAGCCTGAGGTCCAGCCTGGGCACTGGGATTGGGCTCCTCACTCCCCGGCGACTGAACGTGCAGCCAGGGCTGAGGACCAGAGGGAAGGACCTTCCTCGGTGGAGTCTGCATGTATGTGCCCTGGACGGGGTGGTGGCGAGGTGGGTGGGCGAAGTCCCTCTGGACTGGCCCAGGCCCCACGGCCAGCCCTCCTCGCCTCTCCTAGGGGTGGGAAAATGCTGTCCTGCCCCTCATGAGGGGAGAACACTGGTATTTTAACAAGTTCCAGGCCTGGAGGGGCCCTCTGGCACCCCTTCTTCTGCATCCCTTGGGTGGAGGGAAGAGGAGGAGCTGTTGTCACTAAGGGACCCACACTCCAGGGCCAGCAGATGCCACGTGGGAGTTCGAGACTGGCAAATCCCAGCTGCAGGAGCTCTGGGATGTCTCCTCATGGACATCAGAACCGGATTCTGCTTTCCTCTTTTAAAGGATTGGATTTTCTGGGGTTGTCTTTGTTAGTCAGTGAGAATGACTATTTGGTAGTACTTAAAGTTCCTAGGTAGTTCAGAACATGGAGCTTGTGGCCCATTCTAAACAACACCAATCAGATGTAGACAAAACACACAGGCGTGTGCACCCACACGTGCAAATACACACATGTGCACACACTGATACATAGATGCACACACAGACTCACACGAACACACATGTACACAGACGGATGTGCATACAGACATCCATGCACACAGACACATACACATGGATGCACTCAGACACGGATGCACACACACAGAGCCCCTGTACTGGCGAACTCCTCAAAGGCATTGCCTTTCCTGCCTCCCTGTGCTGCACACCTGGGGTCCATTGGCTGAGTCAGGCCCAGGATTCAGGGCAGGGACTTTTCCTGCCTGAGCTCACCTGGCTGCACTAATTAGCAGATGACAGCATGAAAGCAGGAGAGAGGGCACAGGAAGGTCTGACGTGAGACCCAAGGGCTCGCACAGACATGGGTGTGGGTGTGGAAGGGTGTGGGGAAGGGCCAGAGCCCCAGGAGCACCAGGAGGCCCAGAAGTTTGGCTTGGAAAGCAGAGGGGACTCTGAGCACCCAGTGTTCAGGGCTTCCCAGGTGTTTGCAGTGGGAGGCCAGAGGCCAGGAGCTACTTGAAGATGAAAGGGGTGGACTCCCCATCCCTGGAGCATTGGAGCTGGAGCCCCTCCTGTGGCTCCATCCTGGCTGTGGGCACAGGCTGGAAGAGCTGCCCAGGCTGGGCCCCAGCACCTGAAGAAGAGCCCCCTTGAAGTACGACCTTTTCTTTTTTTGCAGTACCAGAGATTGAATCCAGAGCCTTTGAGCTACATATCCAGACAGGGGGTCTTGCTAAGTTACTAAATTGTGCAGTCTTGGCTCAAACTTAAGATCCTCCGGCCTCATCCTCCTACTGTGCTGGGATGACAGGCTTGGGCCATGATGATCAGCTTGGTAGAAGCTTCCTTGAAGGGCACTGGCTTCAGAGGCAGGCACAGGCAGGCTTGGCTCTGACCTTGCTGGGTCCTGGGGAAGGTGTTTTCCCTCCTTGGGCTCCACTTTCCTCATCTGTACAATGGGATCGGTCCTACTGTGGAGCCGAGGCCGTGCAGCACCCGGCGTGCAGCTCCGGTGCCCATGGCCCTGTAGATCCCTAAGAAATCCATGCCTCCTTTCTTCTCTGGTGCCTCGGGGCTCTGGGGAGAGCCGGCAGCAGAGCTGAGACGTGACAGACAGCCACCCCGACGATATTGATCTTCATGGCTGCTGGCTCCAGACCACAGCATTTGGGGATAGTGGGATGGCTGCCCACAAGGCTCCAGCTTTTATGGGGCCTGAAAGGTCGTTTCTGGCCCCCGAGCCAGGATGTCTAGGAGCTGGGCCCCTCCTCTCAGCCTCTGCTCCATTCCCTGATCCCAGCTCAGTGGGGAACTTCCCACTCCCAGGCCAGGTCCTGGGGAGCCGAGGGGCCCTCCCCCAGCCCCACAGCCTGCCTTTGGGGATCTCATCTGACAGCACCTCTGCCTCCCTTGGGGGACTCTCGCTGGCCTGGGGCATCAGGAGCAGGGATCTTTGAGGAGCGTTAGAGACCACCAGGGAGAGATGGAGGAAGCCTTAGACCCAGGGCTTCAGAACACGTGGAGACCTCGGGACAACCTTGGGGTAAGTCAACCTCTCAATGAGTTAATTGAACAGACATTTACTGAGCACCTGCTATGTGCAGGGTCAGTTTGTTGGCCCCTCTTGTGGGCCTTTCATTCTAAAGGGAGGAGAAGACAGATGAATAATCAGCAAATAAACAATTGCAGTGTGACAAGCCCACCCACAGTGTGACAAGACAGATACACGGAGCAGTACTGAATCTGAGTGGCCTGGGACAGCAGAGACGATGTCCCTTAAGAAGTGACATGTGGCCAGTGTTAGAGCCCAAAGGGTGAATGGGAGTTGACTGGACAGAGAAGGGGGAAGGGTGTTTCAGGCCGAGGGACAGCACATGGCATGGGCCAGGGACAGAAGGGTTTGGCGTGTCTGAGCACCAGGTACCTTTCCTGGGAGCAGCCTTTACTGGTGTAACTTGACATTCATTCGAAGGCAAGATGGAATAGTGGCTAAATGCACGGGCTGTGCGGTCATACTGCCTGGGTTCAAATTCTGACTCTGTCCCTGCTCGCTGTGTGAGTTTAGATAAGTTGGTTGGCCTTGCTGTGCTGGCTTCCACCTCTGTAAATAGCTGCACCTAACGGAGGATGACTGAGAGCTTACACCTGTGAAAACAGCTTGGACCAGCACCTGGTACATAGTAAGTGCTCAATAAACACCCGAAGGGCCAGTGTGGCCAGTGTGGCGTGGAGGAGGCCCTCTGCTGATGAGTGCGCCGGTGACAAGGTGACCAAGAGGCCAGTGTGGGCACAGAGAGTGGTGACAGTGGGCCTGAGGGCTGGTGAGTTTGGCAGGGCCACGTTTGAGGTCCTGAGCCCTGGGGCGGTGAGGTCAGGTTGGCATTTTG